ATGAAAATAGAATAAGCGAGGAATATGTAATTATGCAATTTATAATGTAATCAGATTCAAGAAAGATCGTTAAAATTTCCTAACGCGATTACCCAATTTTAATAAAAATCTTAATTTTATTACGCGATAATATCTCGCGGCGATATCACACTGAAAATACGTCCGAGTTTATTGAATTTAAAGAAAAATCCCTCTCTTCGACGAACATAGGATTCGAGGAATCCGCATTTATTCGCGTCGATGGAATTGTAATATATAGCGTAATGCAAATTTTAATGTGCACTCTCCCTCCTCCATCCTCCCGCCGGTATACACGATATATTGAAAATTGAATTTCAACCAGAAATTACACCAGTGTTCTGATGGCTGACAAAGGGAAGGAGCGACGCGATGTCGCGCTTTAACGAGACCACGCGCGAATAATAAAACGTGTAACGATTAACTTCCCGGGCCGCGATAAATCACGATAAAGGGCGCCCGCGCGCGTAATTACGCGGCGTGTCTTCGAGTTAATTTGCGGATTTAATGTGCGGCGCGCGGGGCGCGCGCCAAGTTTTTACCGTTCCGGGCGAAAAGAAATATAATAATCTCGAGCGTGGCGCGCGAGCGGGCGACGACGCATAAATCACGACGCGGGAACGCGCGATTAACAAAATAACTTTCGCCTCGGAAACGGGGCTGAGCGGCGGTTCGGTAACACGTCGTAATGCTGCGGAAGCAGAAAGCGCGAGGCGCGTCAACGCGTTCTTTCCGCCGCACTCTTTACGATCGATCCGCACAAAAAAAAAAAGAAAAACGTGCGACGAGATAAACTTAATGCAAGGCCAACGTAAATTTCTCGGATATTTATTTATTTTCGTTTCCCTCGGGCGATAACGACAGTTACCGAGTTACTCGTTTTTTCTATTTTGTTTTTTGTTTTGTAAGAAATCGCAAAGTCTCGTTTTCTTAGTTATAATTTCTGCTTTTTCAGGAGGGTTTTTATTCAGGAAAGGATAAGTCTGGTGTGTTTACTTAGCGTTTACTCGTCTTACAACACGAGCGTCATTATCGTTACTCATTTTTAATTGCGCGTAATGAGATGCTCCGCGCGAACGAAAAACTTGCTGGATTAATATATAGACTACATTAATAAAGTTGAGATTTAATGTCTTGTCATCCCGCGGTCGTGCGATACGAGAGCGTGGAAAAATCGCTATAATCACTCGATTAAGCGATCAAAACAGTGTAACACGGAGGCGACACGACGCGCCGACGAATTTAGAGTGAGAGAAGCCGAACGTCTCTCTCGCGAATGCCACGTCCGAAGGCTACAGACGACGTACACACTCGAGAGTTTTGTTATCGAGGATCACTCTCGGTGAGAATGAAACTCTCAATTGGGCACTCATTAAGTGTCGTTCTCAATGTACGCCGGAAATTTTACTGTCGGAGGATTGCCCGCGGGGGAATAAAACTCTTAAGGGCCACTCCCGGCGACGTATGCACCGATGAGCTTTGCCGTCGTGAATCGTTCGTCGCGACGACCCCAGATTTTTTTTTTAAACAAACTGAGAAGGATCAACACTTGTATTTTTTACTTTCACGTCATTTACGATGCCTATATATTTTATCTCTTTGGGAAAATTGGACGTTTTAAAGCCAGATTTCGTTTTTCCTTTCGATCCGGAAAATCGTTATCGAGATTTCGAATTTGTCGTGAGAGAAAATATTATTTTTTTTCACTTATATGCAGTATATATACATATACTGTAAATAAAAAACAGCGATATACCGATGCATTAAAGCGTCCGTGTCGGAAATACATCTGCAAGGTCGCAATTCGTTACGATGCAAATTTATGTCAATAGAGGAAAAAATAAGTATTCGCCTCGCGTGCGATTTACGATATCCACTTATCGACGAGCTCTCACGAGCGACTTATCTGTCTTCGGAACGTCCGGAGCACACTCGCATTATCTACGATATACGAATCAGCTTTGAATCGCTCTATATCTAGCCCCGCTATCTCGACCAAGGTAATTCTCGCTAATGCTTCAATCGGTACCTCCGATTACGTTAATTGTAAACTCGTTAATTAAAACTTTATTATCCTTATTAAAACACGTGCCTTTTCAGTATATTTTGTATAATTATATGATATAATTATATGATATCCAATATAATTTTGAACGGTACATAAAATAATTTATATATTTATTCGGAAAGCTATAATATAGATCAATATCAATTTGTCCATTTTAGACACGTTTTCATATTTAAGAGAGGAATCCTACAAATTATACACTCGGTTTACGTTCGCTTCTCGACATTTATGAGCAAGCTTAATAAAAGTCAGAGAAATTTTGCACAAGAAAAATAAATAAGAGTTTAGAAAAATAAATAATGAACTACTGTATTTTATGTTAAAGCAAATCTCTCTCTCTCTCTCTCCCTCCCTCTTTCTCGCTCTCATTCGCGAAGAGAATTCGCATTCGCGCGCGCGCGGGGCAAGCGGATTTTCATCTCTTCGCTGCTCGTTCGCGCGAGGCGAGCCTGCGTCGCGGATACCGTTACACGCCGCGAAGAAATGGTCGAGTAGGTAGGTACACGCATTACGACGCGACGAAGAGACGCGAAGAAATGCCAATGCAACGCGACGCGATGCGATGCGATGCGAACCGCGGAGGCAGGAGCACGCTCGCGTGTTGCTCGCGCGCGAGCAGCGGCAGCGGTGGCGATCAGTTGTGCTATCAGTCGCCGATATCGCCGAGGCGCGTTCCAAAGGCCGGTTGCACAGACGACGACGTCGGTTTAGCTCTAACCGCGATTAAACCGCGCGAGAGCGACCGCGCGAGCTCGACCGTCCGCGAAAGCCCGGAGAGTATTTCCATAGCATAATTTGCTGACCGAAGTATCCGGTTGTGGGCAAAATGACGGCCGATATTGATCTATTTGACTTGAGCCACTTTTATTTCAAATATAAAATATAAATACATGTTCCTCTCCTTTTTTTTCCCTCTCTGCTTAACACTCGCGAGTGAGTTTACCGCCTGTCCCGTTTATCTGCGCCAGTGACTCTCGTATATTCTCCCAATTACGAAACTCCTTCCGCACGCGATATTGTGTACACGCGTTTCCCGTAACTGAAGTATACCCCACCGAAATTTTATGCTGATTTTAATTTTAATCGACACGGGAGTCGCCGCGTGTTTCGTTTTTTATTCGCTCCATAGACGACGACACAGCAATGATTTCGCATATCGGACTCGGTGAAGCGCGATTTGAGAACCGCTGAACCCGCGCTGTCAACGTTTTTCACGAACTTAATTTACGTTATCTCAATTAATTAGAAGTATCAATCGTTCATTATTTTCCAATTAATCTCGCATTCTGCATATAAACTTCAAATGCACTGAGCAAATTAATTGAATAAACTTATTGGATATTGAATTTCCTTTAACAGAATTTCTGACGTCTGCAAAATTGCCAAACAAATAAAATCTCATTTTCTTGTTGTTTTCGTACATGCACACATTAAATAAATTATTTTTATTAACATTAAAATAGATTATTTGAAACTTATTGGATATTAAATTTTCTTTAACAAGAATTTCTGACGTCTGTGAAATTGCCAAATAAATAAAAACTCATTTTCTTGTTGTTTTCGCCGTAAATATCCACATTATAAATAAATTATTTTTATTAACATTAAATAAATCATCTATCTCTAATTAAATTTTGATTCTAGAGCGAAGAACCGTTGAAACAATCCTCAAGAGATCACTCAAGCTCACAGACTCTTCACCGCAATGTTTCTCCATTTTGACCCTAAACACGGTGCATCGAAAACCTTTCGGTGATAAGATCGTAAATATTGCGAGTAACATAATAACACGAAATACGCGTAAAGTGACAGATTAAGAGGGATCAGCGTGACGACCTTTTTTGCTGAGAAAAGACATCACTTCTTTTCAAGAATGTTGACTAAACACGATACGCCGTAATCGCACAGCATGCCATACTGGAGATATTATACGATCGTTTCTCTTGTTCTGTATTATGTAACTATGTGTCTTATTTGACAGTAAAAAATGAGCTTCTGCTCAAAACACAAAAAAACCACAAAATCCAAAAATTCGCACTTTCTTTATGTATCTCTCTCTCTCTCTCTCTTTATCTCTTTGTCTTTTGAAGTAAATGATTCTAAAATAGGTTTGTTGATTTAGGCGATCAAGTATGTCATAAATAACTGTGGAATATACTCTGCAGTAATACTCTCTCACATTGTACAAATGAATATTTGCGCAAACGTACAGTAAATCTGGAATGATTAATGATAGACGAGATAAAACGGGTACTTATTTTTCGACGCACAATTCGCACAGTAACTTCGCGAAGTAGAAGGAATCTCCAGTGAAGGGAATCGATGAGGCAGAAAGGAGCTGCGACAATTGTAGAAAAAAAGGATTGACGTTTGCAAACAGTATTGGTATTCGCTTGAATTATTTTCGACGTCCGAACAGTCTGTGTTTAAACAGCCAAAAGCACTGTATGTATCGAGCGTTACGAATAGGCTGAACAATTTGAACTTTTCCTTCGAGCACAATACAATAGCTGTGCGAATTTACATTTTCCAACTTTCCACCTCTGAATTGTTTTCGTATACGTTTTCGGATTCGCAGAATATGTATGTACTGTCGGGCCTAATACGAAAGGATTTGTAGAAGGATTGGAAGACAAACAAAAACAGAGTCTTTGTAGGTTATCCCTAGGTTGTTACTTTTTAGGTTATGGAGTACACGTCGTCCGACGACGAACATATTGTATGTACACGTCGTGGGACGGATCGCACAGCTCCCCTTCTCACCCAATTACATCCTGCTCCTTCTGCTCCTCTTTCTCCTCCTTCACTCTAGATCCGATCGCGCGAATTTCATTCAATCGACAGAGAGAGAGAGAGAGAGAGAGAAAAAGAGAGAAAATAAAATAAAATTTCGGACGTTGAGTCCATCGCTTACCTCGAGTTCCTCGTACGAGCGAAAGGCGAGGATGGCAAATCCGTCGATAATGTCCTCCTCGAAAGGTGGCTCCTTCTGGTTGGTGGCCGCGAGGGAAGACTTCTTACGAGGCCTCGGGGGTCGCGGTGGCCTGGGCGGTCGCGAGTGGCCGTCTCGCGGGTGACCGGTCTTGGCGCCGAGTCCGAGGCCGCCGGCACCGCCGCCGCCGCCGCCGCCGCCACCGCCGCCGCCACCGCCACCGCCGCCGCCGCCGCCGCCGCCACCGCCGGCGGGGTCCTCGTCCTCGCCACTGTGGCTGTCCTCCTCGTCATTCGGCGGTCGTTGTCGCGACTGCTGCGACTGTTGCTGCTGCTGCTGCTGTTGCTGCTGCTTCGCGGTGGCCAGGCTCTCCCTCTGCGCCAGCATGCGCTGCGCCCGCTCCCGTCGCCGATTCTTCTGGCTACGCTGCTTCGCCTCGATCTCCATCTTCGCGCGATCGTCACCACGGGCCCGCACTTCACTTCAGGGGGGTGGGAGGGGGGGGAGGGAAGAGAGGGTCGCGATCACTCGCCGCGCGGTGCCACGATCAACACGCGACGCGGACGACGCGCAGGAAGGTAGCGATGACGACGACGGGGACGACAAAGGGAGCACACGAGCAGACGACAGCAGCGATGGTCGTGGCAGCGTTGTCGTGCATTCTACGGTCGTCGTCTCGACCGATGGGAAGAAGAGAGACGGGAGAGCCGAGGGAAAGAAAAACGCGGTAGGGAGCGAGAGGGAAAGAGAAACGAGGGGGGAAGAAAGGAAGACGACGTGGACGATGGGGCGCAGGGCACTGGCGAGGCGAGAGGAGGTGGTAGGGAAAGAGAAAGAGAGACGGGCAAGGAACAGGGCAGAGAGGAGAGAGAAAGAGAGAGCTCACCGCGCTGCCTCGGGGTACGCACTCACGGAGACGTTGCCGTCGGCACGCACTGTCGCACGCACACTGTGCACGAGTATACGCGCACGACTGGGTCCTCTATATATACTTATATATATTTCCTCTCCTCTGCACTCTCGTCGAACGAGTCCTCTCGGCTCTCGCGGGTCCACCTAAGTCGTGGCGCGACGCGTAGCCGCGGATATGTCGCGATAGCACGGGAGAGAGCACGGTTTAACGGCACGGCGCGATGTCACATCGATCGCGCGGTGGTCGCGAGGAAGAGAGGAGAGAGAGTCCGGGTGCGTGTGGCGAGGAGGCACGCGAGAAACACGAACGCAGGTCGGACAGACGGGACAGACGAGACAGAGAAAGGGAGAGGGCGAGAGAGAGACAGAGAACGCGCGACCGAGCGAGCAAGCGAGCGAGAACGCGTACGGGAGGGGGAGGGAGAGAGAGAGAGAATGATAGAAGCGTACACCCGAGATGGAGCACACTCGCGAACGAGCGAGCGAGACGGCCGTGCACACACGATCGGCGAAGTACACTGTTTAGGGCCCCGAAGCACGCGTAGAAGGCCGGGGCAGTAGTACACAAGCGAGACACACTCTCTCACGGTGGCGTACGGCACACTATTATCATCCGAGACGGCTATCACGGTAGATCGGCGGTTCACGCACTACGGGCTAATAGCCCACAGTAAACACCACTGCGAATCACAGACACGCACGAAGCACAAGGAGCCGAGCGTATCGCGGCGGAATTGTTCGTACGGTACTTCCGTTTCCTCCCGTTTCGACCTCGTCGTAATCTTTTTCTTCGTCTTTGTCGTCGTCGTCGTCGTCGTCGCCGTGGTCGTCGTTTTCGCGATCGTAGCCGTCCACGTCGCGGCGGTGATCGCGCGCGCCGTTATCATCCTCCTCACGTTATCGCCGCGCGCGCCGCGATCCACGTCCCTCTTCCTTCTTCTTCTTCTTCGCCGTCTTCGCCTCCTTCCTCTCCGCCACCTTTCCGCGCTTTCTCCTCTTCCTCCTCGCCACCGTCGTCGTCGCCAACGTCGTCGACGTTCGTGCGCGAGGCGATAACGTCGTCGGGCAGCTCCAGCACCACTACTGCCACCGCCGGCGGCCACGGGCCGTCGTCCTCTCGTCCACGCGACGACGTCACGTCGTCGCTCTCACGTCGTCGGTTCGGTGTTGTCGCAGGCGCGCCGCCTCGCTCAAACGCGTGCTGAGCAGCAGCGCGTCTTGTGCCTGCGTGCGTACGTGCCGTGCCGTGCCGTGCGTGCGTGCTCGCCTGCGTCCGTCCGTCCGTCCGTCTGTCTGTCTGTGTCCGTGTCTCTGTCCGTCCGTCCGTCCGTCCAACTGGCTGGCGCAGCGTGTGACGCGACGCGACGCGGAGCGGAGCGGAGCAGAGGAGCGCCTATCGTCGTCGACGCATCCTGCGAGGACTGCACGTAGCGCACCGATTGTTTGGAATGGCGGATCGAACGGACACGCACGGTTGCCGCATCGCGCGCGGTGTAAACGGTGTAAAAATGGCCGCGCCGACCTGCCTGTGTGCCGCCCGCGGGGGGACCGATCGTGTGTGTCCCCGCGCTTTACTCCACTCCTGTCCTCTACCTGACTGACTGACTGACTGACTCTCGTCCTCGGTCGGTGCACGACGTCCGCGGTCCCCCACGCCCCCCGTGCGTGGATGCGGCGAGCGCGCACGAACACCGCAGTAACACCGTGACGGACGTCGACGACGTCGTCCTCGTCTTCCTCTTCGTCTTCGTCGTCGTCGTCGCCGCGTCGTGTCACGGGACGATGACGCGTGACGCGCGCCGTCGTTGGCGCATCGTCGCTCTGGCGGTATATTCGACCGTGCACATATTACAACACGTTAAACAACACCGGGGTTATAGCTACCGAGGGTATAACACGGGGTTTCGCGCCGCGAGGGGAAAAAGACGCGAGAGCGAGCGACGGACGACGAGTCAACGAGAGAGCGAGAGAGGAACGGAGAGAGGGAAGGCGGGGGAGGGGAGGGGGGAGTGGAGGGACGACTGTGTGGAACAGAGATGGAGCGCGAGAGAGCCGTGAATGCCGTGATCCTACGGCGAAGAGACACCCGACGCGCCCCGTATTACGCGCGAACAACGCAATTTTGCCACCGTAGCCGTCCACGTCCGCCGTCGATCCTCGAACTCGCACGCCGGCGGCGGCTGTGCATCTCTGTCATGCGTCCCCGCTGGCACCCTATCTTCCGTCTCCGTCGCGCCGCCGAGGGGAATATGGCGTACACTACTATCTACGCGCTCCTCCCGTAGCCGTAGACGGGTGCGTGTACACCTACACGCACGTACCATACACGTACGTACACCACTACCACCGCCACGGGCACACGCATACGCGCGCAAGCGGAACGGAGAGAGAGAGAGAGAGAGAATCGCCCTTACGGTCTCTCTCGTCTGGGGTCGTGGCTCTCGCGCCACGGCGCCGAGCTTCGCTCTCTCTCTCCTCTTCTTTTCCTCATCGGTCTTCGCCTCCCCTCCCGCCGACCTCTTCTTCGCGGAACACACTCGACTTTGGCATTCCGGGGCCCTCCAGAGGCGAGGCTAGGTACCTTTCGTTTCTTCCCTAGGGGAGAGAAACGCATCGACCTGACGCGACCGGCGGGGGCAGCGCGCGGCGCTATCAGCATCCTCTGCTGCGCGCCTTCTGATGAAGCTTCCGACCGCTAGGTGTCGGCACGCACCTCGCGATTGCGGTATCGATTTTCGATGCCCGGCACGACGCGGTAATTTTGACGATACGATCGTGCCGCGAATAGGAAAACGAAGAAGAAACCGTGGCGCGAATTCGCCGCAGCGAGCGGCTATTAACGTCTTTTGTGGATTAACGAGCGCTCGCGCTCGGTCAGCTTAACGTCTTCCCGATTGCTCGCTTCCATCGATTCAGAAACGTGAGAAAATTTTCGCAGACGTTTTCTAAGATCGCGCGTTGTTTACTTAATTCTGTTCCGCGGGCGAACAAAGACGAAAAAAAAAGCGATAACGAACTCGCGATTAACGAGATAGGCCGGAAACGATATCGCGTAAAAAATCTCTTTCTTAATCTTTTCAACATTAATTGCCAACGCCCGAAAATATATTGGAGAAATAAAATTTTCCGCTTTCTCTCGAGATTCTCGTGTAGCGTTAAAAATAGAAAAGATGCACTCGCAGAGCGCAAAAATAGAAAGGATGCAATTGTCATACGAGCGCAACGCGCAAAGATTATTTTTGTATGACAATCTCAGCCGCTGCATGCTATATATAAGGCTCTCGCATATATCCATAAAATGACGAACGAGGACGTTGGACGCGCAAACCGGACTGATGACGTCACATCGCCGGCCGAGCATCTCTCCTCCTCGCATCGTCGGTGCGGTTAGGCCGCACCTGGGAGAGGCGCGCCTCCTTTGAACCAGTTCGCGGCAGCAATTACGCTCCCGCTTTTGCGAGAGCGCGCGCGTCTGATCGCCGCGGCGCGCTGTTCCGCGATCCGCGCCCATTTTCGCGCGGCGCCGGGTTTTGGAGATCGGCACACGCGGTTTCCAAATCCATATAGGTATAAACCCGTCGCGGCTTCCAGACTCGCCTACGTATATATACGTGCCCGATGTGTCCGGAAGGATGTGCCTGCGCTGCGACTGACGTGACAACGCCGAATACAAAATTGATTTCGAAGGTCTCGTGATGTTAAAGATGTTAAATCAATCGCCGGGGCTTTTCAATCAGTTTCGATCTAAAGGATATATACCTTCACCAAATTTCGATATCAAAAGATGCCACTATACTGCTCAAAAGCTTTACTCGCTTCCTTTTAAGTGAAGAATAGTGAATGCAAATTTTCTGTCCTATAATCTCTTAATTGTAGATGTTGGAGTTAATAAAAATAATTTGATGACACAAATTTTGCATTCTACATATGTAAAGAGAATATAATAGAATTAGAATGGAAACTTAGGCATATAAAAAAAGATGCGTACAAAAACTGAGATGGATAAATACTTTAAATTAGAGCGATACGCTTATACATCTTAACTCTTAATCCGGTCTTACATCAGACTCGGCTTAATTGCCGAGCAATATGCATAATTGTCCGAGCATTCGAATCTGTACGAGTAATATAATCGACAAATTATATATTTTTAGTATCTCCATAAATTCCTCCAAATAATAAAAATTCTTTTATTCATTTCAGGCGTTTAGATGCAACCGAGGATACAAAATGCACGAAATACTGGAGAGAATTTTATATTAAAATTTACCCTGAAAATCATGTTAATCGTAGGACAACATAGTATTTCGACGAATTTTATGTGATTTTCACTGGTATTTTTTAGTATATATTACAACAAATTTATTGTAGTGCACAGTGAAATTTATTGTAGTGTACAATAAAATTTGTCGAAATACTATGTTGTCCCACGATTAACATGATTTTCAGGATAAATTTTAAAAGGAAATTCTCTCCGTGCTCGATTACCTGCGAGAAACAGAATTGCGGACCGCAAAAAGGATTAAGTTTTTACTGGAGGAATCCCTACTCGACGGAGAGATCGTTCCACTGGTATTCGGGATGATGCGTCGGTGGACGCGAGAGGGACCAATCTGAAGGATCCGTCCGCGGAAATCTGCGACTGCGACGATTTTACGCGCTCACGGTATATTCAAGCATATATTGACATTGACACCGTTTCCCCGATATATCGAACGCATTATGCATTAGCGGCCGAGATTAATGCGCGCGTTTTGGTCCCAAGGTCTCGATAACTTCTCGATCTACTTGTACAATTCGCCGCGGCTGCGTCAGATCGCCGTCAAGGAAAGCGAGAAAATTATGATCGTAGACGGAGAGAACGTCGCGTATAATAGATACCTATATACATTTCGTACGGCTGTCGGGCTTTCTATTGTCGATTTATACCGGCGGCGTGTCGAACGCAAAACAACATCTCGATCGTTATCGCGCGACTTTTGCATACATTACATAGACACCGCTTCACCGACTTATGTACGCCGCTTGACGAGCGAATCGATGAAAGCTCATTGGATAATAATCCGCGCGGACAATACTTGAATTCAATTGATCGTAGACCAGGGGGTTTCGCTACTTTTTCCGACGCCACTCTCGCGATAAAGACGGAGATAAGACGATCGAGTCGGCTCGCGCGAACGACAGGTGATTTAAACGCGTTCGCGATTGCAGCCAGTTCGAAGAGAGACACGTTGTTATACGTGGTCACGTAATCTCCGGTGACGCCGAGAAATAAACCGGCATAATAAGCATCGTGGATGACGATTGTTCAAAGAACTAATAACAGAAACAATAATCCCTATCGGCGACAAATAGAGCGGATCGGCGTATCGTTGACCCACTCGCTATGTAAGCACCGCGCTGTCGTAATCGCGCGTGGATGCCGGACGGCGGATCCTGTATGTATGTACGATCGATTTGAAAACAGAGAGAAGACATCACCGATGTTGTACTCTCGCGCGGCTAATTAATCATCGGGAGCGATCGGCCGTCGCCATTTCAGGTCGACCTTGCGCGCGGTATCGCCTCGCCTCGCCTCGTCTCTCGCCGTGCGAGAGCAAGCTGCACGCGGGTCCACGGGAGAACGCCGGATGGGACCGGCGCGCGGCGCGGCGAAGGAACCCGTATTTCGTATTGCGCGACCCGCGAATGAATCACTTTACATGCCGAATCCGATGGCGCGCGGTATAAGGCACTCGGTCGGAACGCGCGCATTTGCATATTAACGACCTCGAGCGCTAAGAATGGGCTTCTGAAAATGTATACGTTCGCGCGCTCGCGGAACGTACCTATACCTACTTATACTTATCGCGAAGGCGCCGTTCGGGGACACCTCGCTAAAAAAAAGTATTAAAAAAAAACAGTACAAACACTATACAAACGCGCGGATATTTGCGAGACCTCGCGGCAGGAAGTCGCGCGCGTAATCGAGAAACTTTCTCGGGACGAATGTGTCACTCGCGCTATTATTCACGAAAGCAAGTAAACCTGATAGTCTTTAAAATGTTAGGTAAATATTCACTGCGACTACGAATATATCCATTACTCGGTGAGCTTTCATTTCTTATCCTTTCTATTTGTTTGATCATGCATTTGTGTAATCTCTAATATCCATGCAGCATATACCTCCAAAAAACGATCTAAAGACGTCCAGAGAATATCTTATGTTCTTTCCAGGGGTAAATGATCCATCTGACGTCGATTCTATATATATAGATATCGATTTGACGTCGATTATTCGACACCGATTATTTCTTCCTGGAAGTGTTTCCACGATATTTCTTGCATAAAATGTGCTATTTGGATATATAGTCTCCTAAAGTAAAATAGTCTCCTAAAGTAAATTATAATTAATCCTTAGTGTACACAGATTATTGGATCATTCGTGTATCCTTAGTACACACAATTCATTACGAGTCATTAATACTATTTGGGTATAACCTCCTAAAGTTGTAAAGTTATAATTAATCCTTAGTATACACAGATTATTGGATCATTCGTGTATCCTTAATATATGCACACAATTGAGTCATTCGTGTCGGCTATAATTAGGTATAACATTTTTAGAAAGTATTTGTAAGTGTGCATTAAAAAATTGTATATATAATATAATATATATTATATATACAATTTATATTACATATACAATTATAATATTATATATATTATATATACAATTTTTTAATACACTTATAAATACTTTCTAAAAATGTCAAAATATATGTGAGAATCACTTAATTTTTGTATAAATGATGAAAATGAATTCAGACACGAAGGACCCATCGTATACCAGTCAGAAATGATTGCTAATTTAATGTCGAATTAACATTAAATTATCGATACGGTGATTTCGACGTCAATTCGACATTAATTTGACATCGAATTGACGGGCATTTCTGACTGGGATGTAGTAATAGAACGGAAGATCATCGTGTACTAAAGATTAAGTTTCAAAATTGGATAATTATATTAAGATAATGCTAGCTCCCACAATACAATATTTTGATTCTTGTCCGTGCCATTAAATTCTAACGCAATATCGAGAATTAAGCATAACGCAAAGAGGATTCCTCGATTGTGTTCGTTTGACATTTTAGACGTGATATTTCGCAATCGCGCAACTACGCTTTTGCTTTTAGATACTCGGCGTTCTTACAGATCAATTTCAGCATCCTGAAAAAATGATAAAATTTAAAAGATGTCGGCGCGAATATTTTCCATTTAACAGAGCGCGCCGCGGAAAGGTCTCAAGGCAATCGCGCGCTTTAATGGGTTAATGGGACGTTAATCTCCGTCTCTCGCGCGGCGATATCTCTGATTGGACGAACGCCATCGTGGCCAGAGATACACGGTGTTTGCCCATTCGGGCGTGTACACGGTTGTCGCGTACGTGCCTGTTGTTTACAGTGGCTTCGCCCCGCCGATCTTCGCCTCCTACTACTCAACTCAATGCCCCGTTCCGACAGTCTCGGCATAAGCTAGGCGAAGCTAGATCGTTTCGTCCGTAAAAAAAAAGTCCTTTCCTACGCGCCTTTCCTGGGCACTCGGTCGAACAAAATCGCGAGTACGCTGGAAATATCCGATATTTTTTCCGCGGCACTTATTCAAGCGACTCGAATATGAAAACATAAACAATATGGAACTAATTATGTGCTAATATTATTCGCGAACTGAAACTCTTTCGAAATAATGAATAAATTCAGTCGAATGGAAAATGATTGGCTTCGCCTGTAGGCAAACTATATTCAATTCAAGGCCAATGCGAAACCAAAGCGCAGATGCGATAATACATTGACTTTTTTTAATGCACTTCTAACGAGCTCAAATTTAAATGTTTGCGCAGATAAAAATACCTTAGTTTGTGTTCAATCTTGTAATATAATATGATGATGAAATAATTGATTGAATAATTAAATCCGAGTCTATACTCGAAGCCTGTTATGATTAATAACTGAAAGAGATATCTCATATTCTTGACAAACAAATAGAACTCTTGAAATCGAAATAACAATAATAAGAAATAGTGCTAATAAGAATAATGATTTAACAGATAACAATGAGATTTAATAAAAAGAAAAGTATTGCTGCATACAAAATTAGACGTTTCAACTTAAATTCAGTAATCGCAGTATAAGAATATTGTATGTATAATTCTCATATTCTTGCCTTCGTATTCCTTCGAATGCGAAATGGCCAGGGTCTCTGTTGTTTTGGAATCCTAAAAAAAAATTTCATCAGAGATCACATTGTAAGGAGCACACTGAAACCTTGTAATGAATTATCCAGTCACGCGTTCGTTCTTATTCCGCAACTCTCGCGATTACTATTCATCGCTTTCATGCGGCGAGCCTGGTCCACTTAACGCGCGTCTGGGACGTGCCTTTTTAGGAAACCTCGGGGGAAAGAAGAGGGTCCAGATTTCACGGTGCCGAAAGATTCGATGTCACGATGCGCCGGATTCTATATTTGTACTCTCAGGTGAGGCCGCGCTTGGAAGAGAGTGCTCCAATGCGTTTCCACGGCGGACCACGCACTCTGGGGCGCCTCACCTGCTAGACTCGAGCCTGAGGTGCCCCAGGTGGATCCGTCAGAAAGTACTCGACGGCCGGACAGTATCGCGAGCGCTGGCGCGAAAGCATGCGGCGCGAGTCTCGTCGAGTACTTTCGTTCCGCGCGTTGTGAGCAACGCGCTCGCTCGCAGTGCGCGCAACAGGTCGCTCCCGTCGTTCGAATCGTTCCCTCGGGACTGTGGAACAAGATCGGAAAATTTATTTTTCGCGATTACGAGGAACGGTCATCGAAGAGAACGTCGGTTTCTTTCAATCGTTCGCCGAAAATCGCTCTCACAGCCGTGTCACGATTTTCATGAAGCTCTCGCTGGAGCAAGAGCGAACGAAACGCGAGTGGATCGCGGGCGTGTAGGTGAGTGTAAACAATCGGCGCGTTCCTTCTTACTCTCACGTCTTCTCGTACCTTTTCCTAAAAATTTCACCTCCGTTCTAACATCCTACGCTCCGATCTCTCTTTTAACGCGCGGCGCCGATATACGCGCGTGCATTTCGCGTTTCCGAGAAAGGATCGGTCGACGCACATCGGCGAGAACGGCTTTTCCTCGCCGAGGATATTACGCGAGTGGCATTGTCAGCCTCTTACATAACGCTGCCGTGTGCGGCAGGAACGATGAGAATCTTCCCAGAGTGCAACGACGAGGTATAATTCGAACGTTTGATAAACACACGTTTATCGATCTCGAGACAATCGATTGTTTTTTTACCCGCGATCGTCGTCCACTGATAACGATCGACCGTACGATCCGGTCGCCGCACGATCGAGGATCGACCTCAAATGCCTGTATTTGGCGTGAAAGCCAAGGTGGCCGTTCCCGTTTGATAGATCCTCAGTGTCGCGCGGTCCTAAAATGGATTCGAGCGCGATCGAACAAGCCCGCTTCGCATTTTCAACCAAAATGGCGACGTCCTTGGCGAGGTCACGTGTCCAGCGTGGTCGCCGTCCACTTGTTGGTCGCTCTCGCTTAAATCGCATGGTTTTCGCGCGTGTCTCACCGCGCGTTGAAATCACCGCCGCGACGATGCCGCGCCGCGCGTCGGTTCCGCGCGCGCAATTTTATCTCGATCTATTTAACGAACAAGAGCTTCGCCACTGTCGATTAACGCTAATTTAATCTCCCGTTGTCCGCATTGTTTACGCAGCGATCGGAGCTGCAGAAGCGCGGTCAAAGTTAATGAGACGTTAGTGAAATCTCGTCGATGTAGTTTTTCGAAGAAATGCAAGTGCGGAGTGCGTATATCAATTATGGACTTCTTTCTCTGAACTAATGGCTGCACATATTTATTGAAACTTTACTTTTTAAGCTTTGTAAATAATCTGGGAATAAATTTTTGTTAACATTATGTTTAAGAAATTTATGAAAAAAGTTTGGTGAAAAATCTCTCTGTACAAAACGTTTTGCGAATGTCGTAAAAGAAATTGTGAGAAATATTTGAATTTATTGTATTAGCTCAGATAACGTAAAGTCCAAAATTAGAATATAAAACGTCTCAAAGATGTCTATATTAAAGATATCTTGAAGATATCTTTGCGAAAAACCTCTTATGTCCCAAATGTTTGGATCTTATGTTGTTTGGGAAGGATCCTGCTGCATTAATTATTTAAAATATGTCTTAAGAAAGAAACAGATAATTCGACAGATGTATAAAAAAAGATAAGATTACCACTTTCTATTAAGATATTAATTTGATGACACATTACTCTCAAGGATCATTACGTTACTCCTTACGTGAATTTTTTACTGTTACTCTTGCAAGTTCATCCTGTTCTAGACAACATGCGTAAAATGTCACGGACTTCTCGAGTTATTCGCTTTTACGCGCTGACGCATCTCTGACGTCACACGCATATCCAATAAGGTGAGACTAACATGGTTGTATGGCGGATTACCAAAGAAGTATAATGTTGTCAATGCAAAGTGTGCATGCTTGTCCTCTTAGATCTATTCATGAGATATGAGACGTTTATTGGCACGACGTTTACGTGATCTCCGGCGCGACGGCAGGAAGGCAGAGAAACAAAGGAATGTTGATTTTTTTTACCGTATTTGTGAAATAACTCTGAAATGTGCATCCGACGTGACGAGCGCGTGGAAATATTTAAAAAATTAGAGATTTATTACAAAATTTAATTTACTTATTAAAATCTCTTGAGTTTCCTTTTACGTTATTAATTGTACGATAAAATAAGCGTCATAATTGTAGCGTCATGGAATTAAAGGACTTGCAATCAACAGCACTGAATAAATAATTAAGCATCATACAGCGCGTTAAGAGATTATACGACAGTCGTACTTTGTATAGGTATGTACCGCAGGCTGTATGAAGTACTTAAAAATCGCATTAAGCACATTTAATGTGCAATATCGTCTCAAAACCACACTTTACGATCATAGATCCTAAAAGATAGGAAAAAATCTGAATACTTATACGTATACCTGTCCGTAGTCCGAGGTGGGGAAAACGCGTGCGTAATTCTAACCGCAAGGACGCAAGTGTTCAGAGGCGTAGGCAAAGCCTTCATTTCAAAACAGATTAAAATGCTCCGTTCGTAAACACTATACGATGGAGCGATGATTGAGACGATCAAGCTGAACGCTTAACACTTGGTACAATTCGAACAATGAAATGTTACACAGAAATAGTACATATAGTTTGTATACATTGCCACTTATTAGTATTAACAGCAATCAAAAAATCTAAATTTTATATGTAAATTTTTTTTCGTTTTTCTGTTCCAATGTTATATGATATTCTATCTACTCCTCCAAAGTTATATTTAAAAATTATTCCATTCATTTTACTGCTAATATTTTATTTTTGCAATTTCTGAAACTATCATCTCGAGAGGCACAGCGAGAAATTAATCGTTCTCCAATTACGCGTCAATTATCCTTTCGGAGTAGACAACTCAATCCGCGCGAACTACTCGATCAAGGACTCGCGCGAATACTTGTGGAGAGAAGTCACTTAAGCATCACTTACGCCATTGATATAGAGAGTAACCATTGATATAGAGGTAGCTAACCTTTTGACCTGCGTGCCATTTTGGAGGTTTTAAATTCGTGGGATGCCATCTATGCTACAGGATTTAGCAAAAAAAAAAGAAAAAAAAATCCGTAACGTATTACTTCGATAACTTTTATTTCAACCCCCTGTGCCCTGGATATAGGGCATAAAGCAACCGGCCATACGTGTCTTTAGCCATCTCTGATATCGTATCGCGCGTACCATATATCGAGGTGGTCGCGACCACAGGCCCGCGTGCCACCGCGGCCTTCGAGCTCTCTTTCTCTCTCTCTCCTCCTTTCTCTCTCTCTCTCTTTCTTTCTCTTTCTACGCAGAGAGAGCTTCCTGATGAGTTATTGCACCTCCGCGAGCTGCGTGTCCCTCACATGCGCGTCGACGTAGCGGAAGAATGAGAAGAGGGATGGCGCGCTCGCGGCGGCAAGACTAATATCTCGAGAATCAAAATCCCGTATTATCGAAGGAACCGTTCTTAGCGTCACCCCCCCCCCCCCGAGATCGTACGTATAAAAGGTCGAACAATCGTACTTACATTAAATTTAATTCCCTCAGAGATCTTCGATGTCGCGCAAGATGATTGTTAACAGGAGCGTGACCACGGCAATTTTTTAAATACTTTCTTCCTTAAAATTTCATCCATTTTCTCTCAATCAAATCTTCGCACTTTGCTATATTTTGGTTGAAATAAAAATAATATAATTTAATTGAAGAAGACGCTTTGGCTGATCAAAGTATTTTTATTGCATTTTTATCTTTAGCTTTCTCTAAACTTTTTCATGCAAATTAATTATCGATATAATTTTGTTTCGATATAATTGTAGCAGAGCGTGAGCAGAAAGCCTTATTGTTCATGGTCCATCAGTGAAGCCCTCCTTGCAACGACAGACAAGTAACAGGAACATCAGGAACTACGTAGCAGACATGATCGAATGATGGAGGTGATTTCGACACGCCGATACGAGGCCCGTCCACCGGCGAATACCCACTCCTCTATTCTCGTGAGTAACATTTTCTCCGGCCTCTTCAGAATGCATTTTCTCAGATACTCACGCGTTTCTCCTTCGGAGTTCACATTCTCGCGCCTGCATTTGTAGACCTGTTCGAAAAATCTAATATATGAAATATTAATGAAATAATGATTTATTTAAGGATAAAAATAAGAGATCGACAAAAAGATTTGCCAAATGGAAAATGAACAAAAGACAGGGTTGGCCAAACGAAAGATTGATTCAAAATTTAACGAATAAAATATTTCACGCTTTGATAAATAAATTCATAATTACCGCGGCTTTCAATAATACTAAAGTAATACTTTCATTCACACACAGAGTCTTAAATCTCCAACACACATTAAATATTTCTGATAAATTATTCTCGATTGATTGTGTCGGGCACAATTCCGCGTGCGAATCACTCGCGCGTTTATTCGCCTGCAGAGTCGAATCTCGCGAAATGATCTTGACTCCGCGTTAACGTCCCTCTGTCGGATCGGAATCTGCCGGGTGTCGGTCAGGAGTTTAGTCGCGTGTAACATGGAGTAAGAAAGCGGTTACGGCGAAGTTATTTGCGGTAGGTACTTCTCGCGATACACGTAACTTCCCCGGAATGTCCTTAGCCGAAAGGAATCGCATCTCCTCTCCGTCGCTCTCGGCTCTCGTAGGCGGATTTACATACGTATTGTTTCCTTTTTCAGGTTGACCCTGAGAACTCCGTGGCATTAATCAAAGAAGGTAAATTCCACGAACAGAAATGTTAATCTCCGAGCGAAAATGGTAATTTGCCGGCCGTTTATGTCGCCAGCGTGCAAACTGAAAATTTATCGTGAAACGCCGCTGTTAACATCCATATATATAATTCACCATACAATCAAAAGAACAGAAAAAAGAACAGAAAACATATTATTCCGCATGATAAATGTTGAAATAGCAAATAGATATTCTGCAGATACATTGTCAGTTCACTCGTGGAGAACTATTTTATTAGAATATATTATCGTTCCTGCACGGAGAGAATTTTTTTTTAAATTTACCCTGCAAATCATGTTAATTATGGGACAATATAGTATTTAGGCAAATTTTACTGTGCACTACAATAGGATTTCGCAGTAAAATTTATTGTAGTGCACAGTAAAATTTGCCTAAAACTATATTGTCCCACAATTAACATGATTTTCAGGGTAAATTTTAAAAGAAAATTCTCTCCGTGTGAATTTCAAAGAATTTCATCGCTTTTCAAGATGCAATACCGCAGAAAAGAGGCAGAAAACACCGTAAAATGCTCGAAAGTTTCTAGTATTTGAATGCCCGGGATCTACACCTGCCGAACCCTCATCTCTCCCTCACCGTTCAAACAAAAGATTAGATACTGCAAGTTGGACGATTTTGGAAAAGTAAAGAACCTTTTCCTTTCCGGTTCCATTTTCCTTGTTTGACAAACATCACGATCGCAAAAAGGAACTGTTTACTCAAGGCGTGTAACTGTTATTTCGCTCATTCGGCTTAGCCAGAGGTGCACGCGAAGGCGCGATAAGTAGTTGACAACGGTGTCGACAGAGGCACAAAAAAAGACACCTCTCCCCCTTTTGTCTTCATCGTCGACTCATCACTCGCGTTTTATGTCCGTTTGTTCGGGGCCGAGAAATTAGTTTTGCGAAACAATCGCCGAGTGTTGCGAGTCAGGCTGAAAGAATGCCTCGCTTCCGCCTTTCAGAGGAATGGGAGACCCGCAAGAAAAAGGAGATTACCACCACGCGGCAGATCGAGACGAGGGTGAAGCGGCAGGTCGTCCTCGAGGATGGCGAGGTCGTCGTCGATTCCGGACCTCTTGTCACTACGAACACGACCGAAGACGTCGAGCAACAGGAGCATACGACTCAGGAGGTTCGCATCATTTATCGCACAAGTCTTCTAATAAAAATTTAGCTCAAGATAAATGTAATATAATATAAATTTTTTTTCAAACGATAAATACAAACGGCATAAATGATCGTGAACTCTTAAAATCTATCTCATATTAACAATGCTAAATTATTCTGAGAGTTCAAATTTTTTTTTAATATTCTGTTCTTCTAGCAGTCGAGAAAATTCCAGATCACATTTTACAATTAGTCGAATAATTTTTACGAAACGAAAGATGTAACGAGCAACTTATTCTTAGAGTTCAATTTTTTTTTAAATATTCTGTTTTTCTAATAGTCGCGAAAATTTCAGATCAAGGTTTAGTCGTAATAATTTTTACGAAACGAAAGATGTAACGATCAGCAACAATTGCCAGAATTTTTTATCTTCTTTCTCACTTTTTGACACGCGTCCATTGTTTATTGATTCTGCATACATTTGCGTATCGGAATCGGCTTCCTTTGTATCGCTTGCTTGTGCGCGCACGTAAGGAAACGTGCTTTTAACTGGTCCGCGAACCGGTGTTTAGAGACGCACGACCGGGGATCAGCCGCAGGAGGTCGACTGGCGGCCGGCGGCAGGTGGTATTGTGACCGGAAATGGCGGTAACGTCGTGCAAAAGGAGCTGAACGAGACGGTGATGCGGAGCCGCGAGGAGATCGAGGAGAGACTCGAGACGGAGGATCGTCAGCAGTTGGGAGATATCTCGGACGAGGTATATATGCACCCGCGACACACCCACCACCTGAATTCCACCTGCGCGTGCCGCGGGGAGCACACACGGGCTCGGTATATGCGCATTCTCTTTCCCGACGCGGCGTCACGCGCGCGCGCCGCGAAAAGGTCGCGTCGCGCCGTTTGTTCTCTAGAGAAGACTCGTCCCGTCCCGATCGAGCTCGCGCGAGTCCCGACAGCTCGACGTGTCTTTAGCTCGGCGAGATTCGGTCTTTAGCACGGCGTCAGATATTCAAGTCGTTACGAAATCATTTGCGCGAAGCTGATGAAGCGAGGCATGCTCGAGCGATATATTTCTCTACGGGAGATCTTAACGTCGCACTTTTGCCGGGAAATTACGGTAAAATTACTCCAAAAATCGAATGTCGAGAAAGATAAAAATATCGCAACTCTACAATGAACAGCTTCTCATTGATCGTTTTTCCGTAAGGATTTTTAGAAGTGTCGCATGATAATCAAGAAGCGTCTTAATATTCAGATTAAAATCCTCTCTTCATTTTATCCGTTTTTTTTTTAAATATATAAAAGATAATACATATTCATTAACTTTTGAAGTAACACGTGTCAGTCTCTGATGGCTATTTTATTATCGCGTTCTTTTCTGACTGTTATTATAATCACAAGCTGCAAATTAAGAATGTTAGCTTGACGTTTACGTCGCTTGACGTGGTAATAGCGATAGATCGTGTCACGTTCCGAGCTGTGTGTCATAATAACACACCGCACGCTTAACGCGCGTTAGCGTCGGCTAGACGTGGCCGAGAATAGCTCGGGGTACGGAAGAAAAAAAAGCTCTCCGCCCGATACTAATCTATGCGGCATGCAATCGCATCCAACGTAAATCGCAACGGAGGTTTCACAAACCTCGCGGGGATATACTATCCGGGAGAGGAGTATACCCGGATTGCGAAAGACGGGCAACAGGTATACCTATACGCGAGAGAGGAGACGCTCTCGCAGCGCATGAACGATTCAGGACGGAGGAGGTCGAATCGTTCTGGGACGAAGAGGACGAAGGAAGGACGGAGTTAAACGCGCGGCGAACGGCGAGCTGGTCGCTGGAGCAAGCGATGGAACGGGGGGGTAAGGGGGGAGGAGGGAGCGAGAGAGCAGAAGGGGGTGGGAGATCGCGGAAAGCGGAGAGACAAAGAGAGAGAGAAAGAGAGGGAAAGGGATCTCAAGAAGTGGAAGTCGATGATCTCTCGATTTTGCTCTCCCTTCACCCAATGGCGATGAAGGAGCCGTGAGATGCCCGCAGCCGCAGTCTCAGCAGCTGTTCCGCACGTCTCTCCCGACGGCCGACTCCGCGGGTGCGATCAGCCGCGAATCCGCGACCGCGATATCAGTGTCCCCGCGCTCGTCGTTCTCGTCGGCGCAATCGCGGCGCGGGGGTGTCCCTCGGCGGTGAGCTCGTCGGAATTCGCGTTCGCGCACACACAGTCTGTGTGGTCCCCGATCCCTTGATATAGTCTCAAGATTCCTCGTCATCCGGACCCCAGGACCAGTCGTCCTCGGCGCGAGAGATGCCGGGACTACCGACCCGCGGAAAAAAGACACGCGCCGCTTAATCGGACGCGACGTGCCGGCGGGACCCGACGTATCGTGTCTCCCTAAGCGAGAATCGCAAGGTACAATTAAGGTATAATTAATCGCATTGTCGCATATGATTGCGTCGACGTTAGATGAAATCGCAGATTCGCTCCGAAATGCATAACGCGCCCGCTGCAAATAGATTAGAACACACAGGTTCGATTGAAAGTAATGTATATATATATATAGTGTCACACACGGCGAACAGTCGAGTTTTCTCGATGTCTATCGTGGCGGTATTCGTTATGCTCGTCATCGTCCTCGGCGTGTTCGGACACTGAATCGTTCTTTCGAAGGTCGGAGAATCGTGTCGTATCATCGTAACCGGCACTTTGTGTAATTTTTAATTTATCTGTCCGATGACATAGACGTATTTCTTAATACGTAACTATTCGACATGTAGATTTCACTTGAGTAGAAATAGAATTAAAGCGTAATCGACGTTGCAAGCACTGTCGAAATTTGTCAGATGTGATATTAAAGGAAAAAAATTGTATAAATATATAAAAATAAAAATAAAAGAGAGAGGAAATTTGAAATCTAAGCAATGATTATATAAGATAATATTGAAATGATGTATTTATGTTGGAATTATTATTCATTCGATCGCCACGATAGTTTATTTAGACAGGTCAAAAGAGCCGTAATCGATAATTAATATTATAAAAGCGTCGCTTTTCTATAATTAAATTTAAGTAATTTAAATGCTCCCTGCTTATCAAATAAATTTTCATTAAAGCTTTATAAAGATTGCGATAACCTTCTGCTTTATCTGCACGTTTCCGCTCTCTTGTGATACCTACCTTTACATATTTATCAATATAGATTGCGCGTACTTGCTTCATTATAACCGCTCTTGAACGTCAAATTATTTTTTTTTAATAAAAATATATTTTTGCGGAAGAAAGAGGAAAATGGCATGGCCTAACCAGTTTAATCGTGACGGGATTTCAGGGTATACAGGGAAAGATGACTCGCGCGGAGACAATAAAACTGATCGTGAGTGTCCGACTGGGGTTAATGCGGGCCTACTATCTGTATTTTCAGGCATACCAGAAGGCGGTGAGTAACAATAGGGGCGATTTGCGAGTCGCCCTTGCCGAATCCTCGAAACAGTTGGCGCCGCAGTCCGGCCCGCGGGTCATCCAGCACACGACTAGGTCGAACAAAGTCATCGACACCGAGAAGACCTTGGAGAAAAAGGAACTGAAGGCTGATGGATTAATCGTTACCGAGAAGAAGCGAACGGTCGAGCACGAAGAGGTGAGTCGCAACAGCAAAAACTGGTTAATATACTCCCGCCATCATTGCTCCCTTACTTGTCTCAATTTTTACCGTCAGTATATTTTTACAAATAGTAAGAATATGTAATTGTATACGTGAAATATACAACTCGAATGTAATAGGCATATATAATTTTTAATATCACATGAAAATCGGAGGAACAGTTGCGATTGATTTCGCGTTTCAGATTAAAGACGACGAGGTTCCGGACGACGGGAAGGACGACGACGACGCCTCTGAAACGAAGAAGGAAAGCTCGCAGAGATACATCAAGAAGAGGGAAGAGGACGTGGTGGACTACATCTCGGCCGGCGAGAGAGTCGGCCGAGAAATGCGCTACGTTGCAGAGACAACCGAAGGAGAACGAATAGGCGACTGGTCACCATCACCGACGGGCATGCGGACGACTCGTTTTCACAAGTACCCCGGTACGTCGCGTTGCCTTTCTCTATTGATTTTCTATCGCTGCGTTCCACATGTTTACGAATGGTTGACCAGGCGGTCAGCGGATAATCGTGACTGGTATTGAAAAAAATCTGATAGCTGATAAACTGACTGAATTGCTCCTCCATCCTTATATAAGATTGCTAGGTATATGTGTTATTTCTAATAGAAAATTTTATATTCAACAAAACTTATTTTTATTATCTACTTTGATAGTACCTAGTTAATTACAGTTAAAAGTTAAACAGTTAATAACTTTTAACTTAATTTAATTAATTTCAAATGAGTTAATTTTTAATTTCAACCAGTTATTTTTAAAGCATAACTTATTTTTAAACTATAACTTATTATAACTTTTTTCCAAAGTTAAAACATTTTCTATCTTTTTGAATGTCAATATTTTTTTCTATGAAATTTTTAAGAATAAACATTTTTAACAATTAGTTTAAAAAAAGCAATGATCGTGAAGCAATGATTGTGATGAGTGTAATGCTCGCAGTGCTCAAAGATAAACTGTGAATTATACAATAACGTATAAACTTAATTTACAAATAAAATATGAATTCTATTAGATGATTCATATTGTAATTGTTATGATTGTCGGAATAATTTTGAAATAATCTAATTTTTAAAATTTATAATATTTTAATTTAACCTTTAGTACAACACGATTGGGTCATTATTCCTGTCCTATGAGTTTCTTTTATTTAAAATAGGAGTATCTTTAAATAAATCTACAGCCTTTTCTTTAAATGTATATACAATCTTACAAATACTTTCTAAAGATGTTAAAGTATATATAAAAAGCACTCAATAATTTTTGTATACGCTTGTAAAAGTGATGAAAATTAATCCGGAATTTGAACGATTCATCGTGTATAGTAGAAGATCGTAAAATCATGTATTAAAGGTTAATAATAAATAATACTTTTCAAAATTAACTTTTAATTTAATTTGAGTTTGAATTTAAACTTAATGTAACTTTAATTGATTTTATTTTTTATTTATGTAACTTTTAACGTAATTCAAATAATTTTATAAGCCATTAATTTTAGCTTAATTTAATTTAAAAAAATTTAATCAATCCTGACTAGGATGAGGAATTAAAATTTTTATTAAAGACTATATTGAAATATATATATATAATATATATATTTTCTTGTTGATATATGTTTCATCCCATTAAAAGATTATTGCTAATTGTTACAGGTTTCTCGGATGCCGCTCGAAAAGATGCTCTGACGAAGAAACCATTGGATCTCGAGGAAGAGGACGAGGCGAGGAAATTCGAAACATCGAAATGGCTGGAAAGCCATTTCGGCAGCGATTCGCGTTCCTCGCACGGGTCCCTCGATGCCGATGACTCTCCTCTTCCAACCAGCACTAACACGAGTTACATTAATGTCACCATGAAATCCTGCACGCCGAAGGAGCGTGACTATCAGAATGTAAGTTCGAGCCGCAATCAGCGACGTGGTCGAGAATCGGACTCGCCTGCAGGATATTTTCATGGAATCAGTGAATGGTCGGAACGGTATCAAGGAAAAGGTATGGAAAAATTTATCAGAGAAGGTATTTTTTAAATATTAATTCACAATTTGTCTCTAACTTCACATATTGCAATACATAACATTATTTTTATGCGGAATAAAAAATATAAGTCTATAAAATTGTTCTTAAAAGAAAAAAAAAAGAAGTAACAGAGATATATGTGTGATTATACGAAGTTTAGCTGAAATAATCCTAAATCTGTACGTATCGTAACACAATTATTTCGATAAATGTCAAGTGATGCACGAATGGGAATATAATTTATTTTTACACAGAGAAGCAAAATCATGTGCGATCGAACTCTCCAGTTCGGTACGTGGAATCTTCACGTACCAACGGACATGCTCACGGACATAAGCGAAATCAAGTTGAATCATCATATTCGAAAACTTACGAATCGTTCCGACGCGATTATCAGGATTCTGTCGAGGAGCGGCAACGTACACCTTCCCCGCCGCTACGTCGGAGATCGAAAGAACAAGTATGAACATATTTCTTTGTTATGCTTTATATTGCTAGCAGTAAATTTTAAGTAAATTTTAAAATTGATGAAAGAAAATACGTAATATTAAATGTGTTGGAAACTGCGGTTTATATTCTGCCAGTTTACTATCCATTCTATTTTTTTATTCTTTATTTCTTTTATTACTAAATATAATTTATGATCTGCAGTTATAATTTATTGCATGACCAATTAATTTATATTGCTCTAAACTAATTGTTAGATATTTTATTGTCTCATTGTTTTTTTATACTGGTATTTATTAATTATACTCTTTTTATAGTGGGCAAAATCTGAGGAAAAAATCAGTTCGTACGAGCCACCGTCAGGTCGTACTTCAAGTCCGGTACACGTGGTGCAAAGAACTTGGGAGAGTCGTAATCGTGACGTTCAAGCACAGACACCCGAGCGCGATTACAGAAGTACTTCGCCACGATCGCGATCAATCTCGCCAAAGTCGCCAATAAACGGCCGCGAGGAGAAGAAGTCAGATAGTTCACGAGCATCAAAGGGTAAGTCTTCTTTCGCAATTAATTCAAGAAACAATAAGCTATAAAAATATCATAATAGTATTAAAAAAGGTTATTAATATTAATATTATTATTATAATTGTGTATGCATTACATATCATTATAAAAAAAATATTGTATATCTACTCGTCTATAGGTCATGGACCCAAGTATAAGATCGGCGAATCCTTTCGGAAGCTGGTGGGCAAATTACGATCAGCCAGCACGGAGAGAAAGAATAAACGGGGTGGTTTGACCTCGCAATTGACGCAAACCGACGACAATGGGCCGACCTATCTGCAATACAACGTGATCGACAGGAACATTCCTTTCGTGAGCGAAAGGGACACGATGGATGACAATAAACCACCGGAGAGACCGCCGCGATCGCCGCGGAACGCGTCGAACAAGGCCACGAAGATCACCAGGACGGCCGATCATGGTGTCCAGGAGTGGCAACGCAGCGAATCCACACCGCCGCCTTTGCAGAGGTATTACTTGGGCGAGGATCCCTTCGGCGGTAGTATCTACGGCCGTGAAAAAGGATACGAGAACGACAGAGACCGGCTGCGACACGGAAGACCACGTGGCTCCGGTAAAATTGCCGTAGAATCCGAGCACAGGTAATCGAAAGTACTCGATATACTCGATGTAGTAAGAGCGAGACAAATTTTGACTGATAAGTTATCGCCTAATTAAATTAGATTCGCGCTGTGGTTGAAACTGCTTCTTATCGTTATCGTTATTGCGCTTGCTGAAATATCTTTGTATCTTCCAACGTGTGACTGTACAGTCTGTTGTCTTTGATAAAATATTGAAAGTTTTCTATCTTTCTTTTGTCTGTTCTTTCCTTTTTGATTGGGATTTAAAGAGTTATTAATTGAGATAAGAAAGTTTTGAATTAAATTGTACAAATTGGACAGCGGTATTTTATTATTTTTTACTTAAATGGGATTTATTTTAAAATATAATATTTTGACTAGATATAGAAAAATATGTAAAAGAATATTATAGAAAGAATTATAAAGAAAAATGACAAAGAAGATAAAGGATGATGACGTTGATTTTCACTGAGGGAAAATCAACTGCAAATCGAAAGTGCGAGGGGAGTCTAACTTAATTTGAAACACTCTGCAAATCTATCTTATGCATGAAACGTTTGTTAGGAATGACATAGCGTTTTCGAAGATATTTCACGCTTTCACTATCGGTAAAAATTTGTCTCACAGTCAGAATATGTCATCGTGAGTAGACGATAAGCTCTCTATCTCATGTCGCTCGATCGCCAAAGACGGAGTTAGTTGTGCAAGCTTCAGGAGCCAAAGTGCGAAACGTCTAAATCGGGCCGCTTGGGTATCTTTAAGTCGCATCTCGGCGATGCGCTCCGTGCTTCCAATTTCGGGTGAAGGCTGCATGAAGGGGACGCATGGGAATCGAACGTATATACGACTCGGTAGGCTCATTCGATCGTCGCCGCCGCAAACGTCGACGAGAGAAAATCCGCACGACTCGGGAAATCACCTTTCGGAAACGAACCGCGTTTCAGCGTCGCCTCCAGCTCCCTCGGCAGGTTTAGCAAGTCCACCAGCAAACTGATCAGCGATTACGAGAGGGAGGAGCACTTCCGGTCCACCCAGACCTTACCGCGGAGTCTGCATTCCACCGGTGACGGACAATCGGCTCGCTCCCAGACTAGACGGCACCTGCAGGCACCGAACATCGGCAGGCACGGCGCACCCGGTAAACTGGGCCAGCAGCACAGCAGCATGATCAACATATCGATCAAGAACACGGTGAGCACGTCGCCCAAGGTGCCGAACGCCACGTCCGCTTACAGCACGCTTCAGGCACCGCCGAAACCCGAGCGTACGTACAAGTCGTCGCTGTCGCGCAGCAAAAGCTTCAACGTCGAGGCCGACAAGAACGGCGTCGACGCGCCGATCCGTGCACCGTATACCTCCAATTTGCACCTGAACCGCCTGGACGAGACGCCGCCGCTGAAGAGTCCCGGAATTCTCGCCAGCATTAGCCGTAGTAACAGGGATCTGTTAAGAGACGGTAAATATTGAGGTGGCCGTCAGTGACGTAATAAATCATATATCCTTCTTTCGGACGCTGAATTATGCCGTCTTTTTATTTTTCCGCAAATATACAAAGATTTTTCCGAAGTGTGAACGGTACAGTCTTAAGCGAAAAACTAAAAGTCTGGTAAAGTAATGAATTACAAGTAAGTTACAAATATGGTAAAATAATAGGCCTGTTGTTTTTAACTGAATTTCTTGCACCGTTGACCTTTTTTCTTTTCCCGTTTTTAACGTGAAGAAAAAGAAAAAACCGAAACCGTGCAAGAAGTTCAGCTGAAAAGAACAGGCCCAATAAATCACATTTATATTTTATTGTATATTATAGGTTCTGCTGTGCATGCGCTTTCGATAATCTTGTACCTTCTTTTGTTTTCTCTTTTATTATTATTAAAATCCCCGCTTTCTTCTCTTCCTCCTTCTCGCTCCCTCCTTCGCTCTTCCGCTCTTAGTTACGTCACTGATGGCCACGGTGTTCATATATATTTGTAGATCATTAAATTTTTAAATTTATTCTCATTAAACAGTTGACTTCATTTCCACGTTATCACCTCGTTTAATGCAGTTTAATGTGGGATATTTATTATGAGTCGCGTGAATGTAAAGTAATGGTTGTAGACAGACACATTCTGGGAAAATTGTACAAGAAATTAGCAGGTGCTGCGGCTACAATTTATTTATAACCGACGTTTTATTTCCGTAGACGAGAAAAGAGTAAGTTCTACTGTACGCGATATACACGCAACATCGTTCTCACGAATTATTTAATGCGAATCAGATCTATCAAAGTCGAGGATGTGAAAGTCACGTTCTCAGAAATCGATCATATTGAATATATAGAAGTAGAACCGATAACAATCGCTAAATCTTCTTAAATATTATGTTTCGTATATTTTTAACGTTTACGTGCCACATATTTTTTCGATAGTTAAATTACTGACTTTCTCACAAAATGAAATATGTGAAGATCGTTAACTATTTTCGGTACATAACGTACAGAATGCTCCCCGTCATTGTACTTCTTGCCTTCTTATTAATTTTTTCCGATATGTCTGAAGTCTATGTCTGAAGTGTTTTTCACGAGCAATCACGGTAATAAAAAGAACGACAGCTTTGAAAGGAAATGTCGCGGGACATTCTGTATATCTGTTACCGCGCGTAATTTTTATTAACAAATGAATATACAAATTTCATATAGATGCAATATTGTTTATATTGTTTATACTGTTAATCTGCAATAATATAATATAAATATATAAATAAAAATGTTCTTATATTTGTACATACATTATATCTTTTATTTAAAATATTACGTAAATTATTAACATGGAAAAATTCATCGGGTTGTGTGCATTGCATAATGCGAAAACAAAATACCTCTTCATTAAGGTAGAATCTGGTAGAAGAATATCTGAGATGTTTACGTTTTTATCTGTCTAAAAATATTTACGACGACTACGATTGTTCTTCTTTTCGAAAACACGTGTACAAATCAAATATCTTCGAGTATATTTGAACTTTAGACGTATATATTATTGTAATTTACAATAATTACAATAAATGATTTCGTATATACATGTAATTATAATGAAATTAAATGCTGAGAGTTGCGAGTTGCGGATTCTAATAATTGTTCAATCGAAAAAACACTCCGACTCTCTTCCCGAGAAGAGTCGAAGAGCGCGTCGATTAATTGAGTTTAAATAGAAAGCGCGACATTCGTTGATTTGTGTCGTGTCGATTGTGTTTCTTAAAAGGAAAGCATTCATAATCTACACGCAAATAAAAAATAATAAATAGAAAATGATAGCAAATTATTACAATATTTTCTTGGTCGATCACAAAAAATGCAATTAATTTAAGTTTTCTTCATCTTCTCTTTGCGCGTGTCGGCTGCGGCTAATTTTCGGAATTTCTTAATGGCGAGAAACGTAATCACCACGTTTACAATATACGTACTAACGCATACAACGCAGATGTCTTGAAACATGTATAATATACAGCTTAAATATATTGAACAAATATTAGAAAGTATTCCCAGGATGACAATGGTGGCCGAACAGGCGTAATTATTAATCATACCTGAAAAGCAAATGATAATCATTATCATTACGTAAGACGTACACATCGCGTAGGCGTAGATTTATGTAATCGAATACATACTTGCAACTGCAAAATAAGTATAAAATGCTAAACCATATATTGAATTTGGGATGTTAAACACGGAATCTTCTGGAAATAGTCCGAATCCCTTGCCATATCTGAAATACGAGGTATTTTTTTATCTCGTTTGTCTAATTTTATGATTATTTATGATCGTCAATTTCGAATGATTTCATGATCATTATTATCATTTTATATTTTATCTGAAATATGAGGATTTTTTTCATTATTTCGTATGTTTGTCTAATTTTATAATTATTTATGATCGTCAATTTTGAATGGTTTCCTGATCATTATGTCATTTTGTATTTATCTAACGTTATTTTCTTGGCATTTTGTAAATCTCGATATGTGTGCTTAAAAACTCGCGCGGCTAAAGGCAGTAATCATGGCTGAACACGTGAGTCATAGAGAAGAGGATCTCTAGGACGTCATCATGTTGTTGCTGCTTAATTTCTTCGTCCACTAACGTATTGCATTGAAATATTATTTTTTTTAATACTAAAGATAAAAAATAATAATATTTCACGTGGTGACAAATATCTAACAATAAGACAATTCTAGCTGTGTCAAAAAAACGTCATGTTCGGAATTTAAAATACATTCCGTATGGTAGCCAGCGAGAAGTGATTTCCTGAACATGTTAAGCTTTTAAACCTATTCTACAATAGCCATAAGGTAAGCCGTAAAAATTGACCAATCGTGGTCGAATATGAGGAGAATAATCGATTACGATTGGACAATTTTTATGGCTTACGGCTATTGTAGAATAGGTTTAAGGATCGTCTACAATGGAGTAAAATATGGTGTAGTAAAACGTATGTCGTTCGAAATTAATAAATCATAATCAAATATGGAGGAGAATAATCGACTGTGATTAATCAATCTTTTATTAATCTGATCGGTTTACAACTTTATTACACCATGCATATTACTCCCATTGTAGACGGCCCTTTATGTAACACTTGTTCAGCGACAATTTGTGTATCTGTTCTGGCTATCTTATATAATTATTATTCATGACAGACGAAATGTACAAAATACATTTTAATATTAACAAAAATACCATTCAAATACCGATATTATTACATATATTTGGCATATTGTAAAACAATGTCTACATCTTTAAAAAATTAGCAGATTTTTAACCGGAGTTGAACTCATATTGCACTGCACTGATCCTGAGTTTTGTTCATGTTCATGCAACACAAGGACCTACTCAATAAATATAAAACAAAAAAACAATGGAATCGAGCAAGCGCGATGAAACTGCAAGTGCATACACATCAGGATGAAGATATATATAAATCAATAATTCTGGTTTAGGATTAGACGTATGACGAGCCGCGTTCAAGCGCGATTGTGTGACGCGGCAGTACTTGAGCTTATCTTACTTAGACGTAAAGACTTTGCTGCAGCTCACATGCTCGGAGATGTCACACATGGCTTCATAAGAGTCATCCCGCTCCTTTTCGGTCTCCACGATGTACGCGTAGTATGACAATCCGACACCGATTACACACGCGGTAACGATGCCGGCGTTGAATTTTCGTAACGCATAATTTCCAGCCGCCGACATCGCGCCGCCGAGCTGTGGATTGCTACTGAACTGAATTTGTTATCGCTGCAGCGTATATACGTGGAGGTCGCACGCACGACGCACGTCATCGCGATATTCAAGCAGGATTGGGAAATAACGCGTTTACTTGTAACGCCGGCCGTTATTATTTTCGTTATTTTTTTCCCGTAATCAGTAAAGTCGTAATTACACTAACGATTAAGATTGAGATTAAATTGATATTTGATCAAAGCAAAATTTATTGAACTTTATATTAATTTTTCTTCTGATTGGTCAAAAATTCCAATCCAATCAATAATGTGATTACGACTTAACGATCGTTACTTTTTTTCTGTAACAATAACGGTTGTTACATTTTTACAAAAACGCATTTGCCGTTACTTTTTTATATTTATATTTCATTATATGTATATTGTTAATTTATTAATTTTTTATACTGTATATCTCTTAGGCTCTACGTTTCAATAGTCACTACCAGTATTAAAAATCTATAATACACATTGCATGTATATATATTATAAATTTTCAGTACTAATAGTGAATAATTGGAATGCATTCTTAATCATGAGATTAATATTTAAAAAGAATAAATTTAATTTTCTATAAAAATACGTAATGTAAAGAAAAACTTGCTCTGTACATATATAATACAGACTAGTTTAGAGTTTCAAGTTTTTAATATATCTATTGTGTTCAAACATAACGTGTCACCGTCGAAACATCTCGAAGTAATAAAAATCGGGAGTTACCGCTTGTATTTCAGACCATACCATCATATATATATATATATATATATATTTATTATTACATTTAATGATTATCAAATAATATAAATTTTAAAATCTAAATAAACTTATTTTTAATATTACAAAAAAAGTAAGATTAATGGTAACGCGTTACTTTTTTATGAGCTAACGTTCCCAACTCTGTATTTAACACACTGATGGTATGGTCTGAAATACAAGCTGTAACTCCCGATTTTTATTACTTCGAGATGTTTCGACGGTGACACGTTATGTTTGAACACAATAGCATAGTGGAGAATCGATAGCGGAGTATTAGGGAAACACTGACGAACCTTTGTTTCCATCGCGTCGATTTAGTTTCAAACGTGTATTCATCAATGTGGAAAATTGATTCTTTCGTTGGAATACATTTGCATATAATTGCTTGGTAATCGAAAATTGCGATCGAGGATCATATCATACTACGCTATTCCGACGAGTTGAAATCTTTTATTCTTTGAGATTTGTACAGTTACTTAGTAAACTTTAAAATAAGTCTACCTACACATGTACTGCATATATTCGAAGATAGAACTAAGAGAAACCTCAAGACGATACATATTTATTTAACAGCTGCTATTTTTAATCAATGCGTTGTATCTTCCGCTTGCGTTTTCCATTTAAAATAACATTCAGTATAATCACTTGTAAGACTTAAAAATTAAAGTTTAGATCAAAAAATAATTCTGTCTTAAAGTATACATATGTATCTCTTAATATTAATAAGATACTATTTATGTGCGAAAGAATTTATATGTGTGTGTCGATTTTCACGTTAACATGATGTTACGCTACATTTTCAAATTTGGACAGATATGCACGCTAAATAAAGACAATACATTACATTGGGTAAATAAATGTTAAAAGCATGAACTACTTAACTATATAGTTACAACATATATTAATTTTACTCGTAAAAAAGATTAATTATAAAGAGCTATAGATCAGTTTAGGAAAAGTGTTGTCCACATACAATATCTTTCTCACATATTTTTAATACATTTTATGGTTGTCTCCTTTATTCCTGTGGGGCCATCGCTCTAGCTTGAGCTTTAACGCGCTTCTCATACTCCAGACGATTTTGGCTGTAAAAGAAATCCTCAATTATTCTTCAAGCGTTGATGCTTGAACGTGATCGTGGTCAGAGCATGTCTCATGAGTAAATACCAATATATTGTGTACGCTTCGGCTTGAGCAGGATCCTTCACGTTTGGCTCGTTCAATAAATCCTGAATACCAAGTAAGATTTGCTTGATTGTGATGGCTGGTCGCCAGTCCTTCTCTTCGTCCAGAAGCGATAAACAGACGGTGCCGGATGGGTAAACGTTTGGATGAAACAGCGGAGGTTCGAATTTACACTTCGGCGGGCTCGATGGATAATCATCTTTGAAAATCATACGTAGCTTGTACAAGCCACCCTCCCAAGGAGTCTGCAAACTCACGAGTTTAATACGAATACACGCAACCAGCTTGATAGTGATAGACTTACAGATTTCTTGCCGGGTATCGCACATTCCCAACTCATCAAGTTAAGGGAACCGTCTGGATTTTTAGTTGGCCTAGCTACAAAACCCTGCAAAATTGGCATTGCGTTATTCAACAAAGAATTCAGAGAGTTCCATGCAAAAAATAAAATTTCAAAAAGCGTTTAAAGATTTTAAGAGAGACGGTATAAAAACGTTAGAATAGGTTTCTTTACAATTTTATAATTCCGCTTTACAAATGTTATACATAAATTAGAAATCAATTTGTTTGTCGAATACTCTTTTCACGAATAACAAGTTGGATTTGCCCCTCGCAGTCGAGAGATGCGAAAAACGCCACGCGGGGGACCATTGTTTACAATCGCGACGAATAACGTTGGAACCGTGATCGGCGCGTTCCGCGCGCACCAAGCGGGAACGACACCGAGGGCGCGTTCCCGCGGGAACGCGTGTAGTGCACACAGGCGAAAGCGGGGAAACTCACGAAGGGATGGTCCTTCCTCCATGCTTTACGCTCCTCCGCGAGCCTGGCGATCGCTATGCCTGACATTAGGTCTGCGGCGATGCGGCGATTTTCGTCAGGGAGTCACTCACGGTCGGACGACGCGAAACGGCGCCCCTACGTTGCTCTCTCGGTCACGTCCCGACGTGCCTCGCTTGTACTCGCGGGACACTCTTGCCACGGAATTTGAATATTGCCGAATGCCGATGCCGACAGGCGAGCCCGTGAAATTGCGCTCTTCTCAAGGGTGCAGCCGTTGACTAGCCAGAGGGTTACACGCTGATCGCGTTCGTAAAAGCGCCACGGATTTGTTCGCATACATACATACATGGTTAGGAATCGCGGGAAGATTTTTTTAGCGAATAAACTGACCGTATAACGACGGCGACTCGGTCGATAAGGATGTCTTTTCCTTTGGACTAAATTATTCGCACGTGCACCAATACCGTGGGCTGGCAACTTGTCCAATTCGCTGATTCGCTAGTCCAGCGTCTGGCTCGCAATTTAAAATATTGTTTATTTATTACATATTTATACAGATTAATTATCTCGAGAACGATAGGGAATTGAACCATTTAAATAACATTTTAAGAAGCTGAAAATAAATTTATGAATTTTATAATTTAGATCTTTTAGTGACGTAAATTAATTTATTCATATTGCGTATTAAATTATTTTTGAAATTAGACAATCACTAGAAAACTCTCAATTAGTTTTTAGATAGAATTATTAGTTTTAGATTGAATCATACTCTATTAAATCAAGGAATATAGCATTTTCATGTTGTATGACGCCACATTTATGTTATCCTCGAATTTTATTTTTATCAGTAAATTATTTCTGTAAATATTTTTTCTCCAGGATTTGACCAACAAACCTATTAGAAATATTATTCAATAAATATTTGCATTGTGGTAGATTAAATATGCATAATTAAGCTATTTTATATTTTTTCAGTCTTTAATTTTTATTTTTCATTATTTTAAATAATTTTAAATAATTAAACTTGATTTTCCAATGCAAATTTCTTATTAAATACGTTTTACTTGAAGATATTTCTTAGGAAATATGTTTTCTTTCTTCTTCATTTAAAAAATACCTAAAAATGTGCTATCTATTTTAATATCTTGAAATTTCTAATTGTTTAATACTAAATTAATGTTAAAGTGCCAGTGTTTTCAAAACAAGACCACATATATATAATTTAAAAAAGAATCGATTATATATAATGTTTAATCGAAATTGATTTTCTACGGAAATAATTATATATTTCTCAATTAGAAATAAGAGGAAAAATATGATAAACTCAATAATATTATCGCAAACATCTTTAAGTTAAACAATTGTTTTAAGTAATAAACTTGTAATAATACATCGCTCACCGGCTGACGCGGTAGGTTCCACTATTTAAAAAATGTATTATCGCAATATGCATCATCGCTGGCTGCACCAAGCAGATCACATCTCCGCGGCTGTTATCGCGCAATATGTTCATTACACGTTAAGCCACCGGACCGTTTTAGTTATCCACCTGCTGACACGCCGAATACAGCTTCTATTTTCTCATTAGCATCACTACTGCCATTCTTCATACGACGCCCATAGCGATCGCGCATGTGACGCGGGTCCGTCGCTAAGTCGACATCGTGTTAAAATGAAAAGTGCCGAGTGACATCAGATTCCCTATCTCGTATTTTTTTCGTAAACTTTTGTTTGTTTGTTTGTTTGCAAACAAGCACATCCGTTTACGCAAACAATTCGTCAATACCAATATTTATTTACTATATAACTTAACTACTTAATATTTCACACGACGGGAAATGGCAACTCAACGAACTTTTCTGTGAGTATATCTTTTGCTTTCTTTTCTGGATTGAAACACTGCGCGGATTTCATTATAGTCTCTAAAGCAATTTTGCTTTGCAATTAATATCTTCAAAGTTGCGTAAACGATTTATAAGGTATTGAATCGATCGTTGATAGCAAATTGATTTGTGATTTATAACTGCATACTCACGAAATTTTAAAAATTTAAAAAATTTTTACAAATATTATATATTTTATGATATTTACTGTAATATAAATATTTATTATCAAATTAATATATAATAATTTGTCGAGGGATACGATTAATCAAATTTTGAAACTGTGTTTCAAAATTGTCACATCTATAATTTCAGTTGATTTAAATTTATAAACAAATTTTATGTATCGTGTATAATTACGTGTTGCAAAATATAGGAAAAGGTACACTTGATTATTAATAAATCGTATTAAAATAACGTTAAATTTGTGATCGAGTTCTCTTCATGCGAAGGATACAGTCCACCGTTAGGCGATGAGATAAAACTCGTAACAATATTTGCACGATGTTATATAGTATCAGCGCGACAATGTTGCGTTGACAATCTAAGGCAAGATCAAGGCGAATTAGACTCGTGTCGCGTAATTGGTTTACGTATTCATTAGGCGTGTGCTTGAAGCGTGAAAAACTGAATTGTTTGAAAAGCGGCGGGTCGCTAATCGATCGCGAAGGAGTATAGGTATATATATATATATATATATAAACGTTTCAAACACTGATATAAGTTAAGACGATCGCGGTGCGCTTCAAAGCTTGTGTGAAAGATAAATGCGAGATATTAAATTATATAGTTAATGCGGCGAATATAACACGGTGCATCGGTCTTGTTATCGCGTCTTGCGCAAATAACGAAGCTGCCAAGTAATAAAGATTATAAATCTCTCACGCTGGCCCACCGTGTATCCCAGTTTCGTCGCGCGTCTTCGCGAGGATCCAGACGAATCGTGTATAATGTCGTTCAACAAACTGTTATTTTACGATCAAACAAGGGATAAATTATGTCTCGCGCAATCACGCACCAGATGTTTAAACACGATGAGCGTATACGAAGCTAATCTTGATTTCATGAAGGAGCATATAACATTCGCGAGATAACTCCGCGTTAAATTCGATTCTCTCGAATTCCTCGCGGTTACACAATTAAAGCGTTTTATTTACAGAATCGCTTTCTTTTTTATACATGCGCATCTTTCGCATGGCTTTACGAAAGATGACGATGTTTGTTATCATCCACGTGCCGCTAATTATCCCGAATGCGACTTTGCGGAAAGTCGACTCATTTGCTTTAATGGCCTTAAAGATGAATGGAGAGCAATGTAAGTAAATGACATTGGAAACGGAATCTAAAATATATTTCTAAAAATATATTATTTATAAAAGATAAAATATTATATACTGACTATAAGTTTCTTTCAAATAATTTATATTATTGTGCACTTTCTTGAAATTGCAAATTTAATTTGATTATATTATAACTATATTATTTCGAAGCGCTTTTAAGGGAGTTAAAATAATATTTTTAGGGCTAAAGATGTGAAAATACTTATCCTTTGCGTATGGCCGAAGGCAACGTTTGATCCGCAAGAGATTCTACGGGGATTCACGTTTTTACGAAAGTTAATGATCGCGAACAGCAACTTAACTCGATTGTCAACCGCATTTCCGAGCGAGATGCAATTTCTGGAGGTAGAGAATGCTTGCCAAACGCTTGGGGAGCAATCAAAAGCTTTTGTCTAGACTTCATTAAAGCTGCTTATTCGAATTTTCATGGACAATGGGCGTGACAGTTTTAACATTATTTCATCAAACGTATAGGATAGACGTTAAAGCAGACTGTCTCGGAAGATGTTGATCATGAAAATTCGTTCTTATGTATCGCGAGATACATTTTGCGAGTATATTTTATCTCGGGAATATTTACGGGAGTTTGGAGGAAGATGTTTGTATCGATAGAAAATCAATGTGACCGGCACGAAACTGCATTTCCTACCGAAAGATGCGTTCTCGGATCTGCGGACTTTGAGGTACCTCGACTTAAGAAACAATTCTCTCGACGAGATCAGTATTACGGCTTTTGATGTACCTACGTTGAAGTCTATTTACTTGGCCGGTAAGAATAACCTGATAAAAAATTTCTTTTAAGAAGCTACACAAATTCGCCAAATAAAAAATTTTATAATTTGAGAAAATATGGGGGATTAAAATTATATTAACCTTTTTTTTTTGTGAAACGCGCCATGTATAATAGTTCTGTAAATACCTAAAACTTTTTTATGTGATTAATGAATGGTTTAATCAAAATTACATTCGATTGATGCGCGAATCGCGGATAATTAATGGAGATGTACTGACGAAGGTAATCCATTGAGATGTACGGAAGATGTAGCGTGGATTTTGGACCCCGGTGAAGGATCAGCCGCGAGTAAAGTCGTCGACAAAGACAAATTACTTTGCGCCACGCCGTATGATGGAAGACCGCTTGTCCCGATTGTCGAGATAATCGTGGTAACGAGAAAATACTTCCTTTTCTTGTAATTGATGATTAAACAGCTCTCGAGTTTCCCCGCTAAATCAATCTGATTTTCAGACATTGAAAGAGGAATGCAAAAAGACGGTATGCGACTGCGAATTGATTTACGTGGTCGCGAGCAAACTCACGCAGAGGCAGCTCATAGCTTTTACTTCGGTCAACTGTAGCCACCGCGGTCTGACGGAAATGCCCGAATTTTTACCCACAGATACAACGTCCCTTCATCTAAGTGGAAACAAGGTCGTTTATTCGCGCAATTCTCCCATGCTTTAAGCATGATAATTTTTACCACACGAAGAGAATTTTATTTTAAAATTTACCCTGAAAATTATGTTAATCGCAGGACAACATAGCATTTCGACAAATTTCTCTGTTTTTTTTTTACTGTGCACTACAATAAATTTGTTGTAGTACATATTAAAAAAAAAAAAAAAATGAAAATCACATAAAATTTGCCAAAATACTATGTTGTCTTACAATTAACATGATTTTCAGAGTAAATTTTAAAAGAAAATTCTCTTCGTGCATGAATAAAAGTGTCGTGTAAAAAATATAATTAAAGAAACATATACAGATGTATGATTCGGTGATACGTAAATATGTTATGAAGCATCTTATATTAGTGTAAACTTGTTTTTTCTTAATACAAAGAATAAATATAAAATATTAAATTACTTGTTTTTACTTTTCTTATAACAATGTGTATATACTTTTCATATATTTATATATATTATATTATATTGATAAAGACAGTAAATGATGGCTAAAGTACTTTTTGTCTAATCTTTTGTTTACGGCAGATCAACGACCTAACTCCGCTTACGACAAATCCCGCTTACAAGTCCGTGCTGGACCTCTACATGGACGATAATCTGGTAGAATCTATCGCCCGGCTGGAGGGATCAGACTGGCTGTACCGTTTCCGACTCCTTAATCTTCGAGGGAATAAACTTACCGACGTTAGTTCTCGCCGCGTCAAAGTTATCAGATGTCACGCGAGCAGACAATCTGTTTCATATGACGTATTAATCGGAATATGGAAAAGTTGTTGTTCGAGTAGATTTCGTGCGGCACGGTAGACGATTAAGAATTGAGATACGCGATTTTAGGAAGATTGTAAAAATATCACGCGCTGTTCTATGCCGACATAGCGTTGCTATTTTATGCGCAAGATTGCAGATACAGTTTATGATTTCTTTGCTTTGCGTTTTTCAGTTGCCTACTTACGCTCTGGAGAATGCGTTGCTGCACAACAGCAATGCAGCCGGCCTGTATCTCGGCAATAATTCGTGGACATGCGACTGTCACTTTACACCGAGCTTTCAGGTATAATTATAAATCATAGGATGTGAAATAAATATGAATTAAATATCTATAATGAATTAAATTGATGTAGGATAATTTACTTACGAATTTTCATATTCTTTCCTAATTAAGAATTGTGCCGTTATTGGCACAATTATCGTTTAATCCAAGTAAATTTGACGTCTTTTGTTTTAATTAAAAGATAAGAAATGAATTTAAAAAAACATAAATAAATGACATAAATAAAATAATATTAAATCTGAACCTTGGATTTTCAATATTAAAGTATTCACATAATGGATTTTTTGTGTAAATTCCTTTTAATTAAAAAAAAATTCAGATAATAAATGACTATTTCCAGAGCTTAATTAATCGTTATCAATTCAGTCGTGTGCTTTTATTTTATTTTCTTGTAGGATCTTCTGATCAGGCATCCAAATATAATAAAAGATATCAACGACATAAGGTGCGCTTTTACGAGCGACAACGATATCTCAAACAAACAGGTAACTAACTGCACGATTTTTTTATCAAGTCTAATTGAAAAGCACGATGCATGAATAATGCAATTAAAATGCAATTGCGTTGTGCTTTAACGTAATAAAAATGGCTCTCATAGATCCGCGATCTTACGCGGACGGAGATCTGCATATCACCGGACGAAGATTCTTGGCTTCATCCCCTCGACGTTTTGAACATCATATTGGCGTCATTAATATTCCTCGTGCTTGGCAAGCTTTTGTATGATTACTGGTCTTTTAAGAAAACCGGAAAGCTACCTTGGATCGTCGCCAAAATACCGTGATAGCGGTACAAGTGCCTCTTACCTCTTGCAAAAGAGCGGTCGAGTGTTTGATCATTAGAGTAACAATGGAGATTGTAGCGGAGGGATGGAGAATATATCTGCATCAAAATATTTTTTTTTTTACTTACAAAATCTCCGGCACTCACTTTTGTCTTAATTGTAAATCTAGCGTACTAATCTTGAATTTAATTAATTTTTTCTGACATAAGTTATTATATGAGTAAATACTAATTGTAAATAAAGATAAGATACGAATATGCTTTTGGATCAAATAAAAGATTTCAATTATGTAAAACTTCCGACAGCTATTTATATGTATTTTCACATTTATTTAAATTTTATTATTAAAGATAAACCAAGAGAGTAAGCAGTAACATAATATCGTAATAATTGATACACAAATTTTTGAGCTTATATTGATTGCTGCTCAGCCTCACGAATATATTTCTGATATAAACTTTCAGCAGCAGCAATCCTAGCGCTATCTTTCCTCAATCCTTGTCCTATAAATAATAGAATATGCTAAATTATTAACAAGTTATTAATTAATTAGTAATTGAGATATAAAATTATTATAATATTATGCTAAATTGTTTAAAAATATTAATTATATTCAAAAGAAGAGTGTCATAAAAATAATATATCATTTGGATATTTGATCGATTTATATGCAGCAAATGAGAAAATAACGTACCAACTTCGACATGACCTAAAGCTACGCATTGAGCCGTATACATAAACCCTTGATTTGTTCTCGAATGGCGAATAGTGTACTCCGGAATAGATTTCCCTTTCTCGAGACAAAATTTGTAGAGTTTTTGCGACGCGTTCTTCAACTCGTTTTTATTGATTGCAGTTATCTCTAACATCCTGACACAAAGAGAGCGGCATCAAACTCTATTTTACGTAAAGTGGATCATTTTCCGAATCGGAGCGGACTCCTCCGACAAGTTTTATATGGTCGAAATTTAATATCCTAATTCCTCATATATTTTTGCACTATTAAACTTACTCATCCCTCGAGAAATCTAATAATCCGCAGCCGGGCGACGAAAGTTTCATGCCATCCATCTGACGCTCGGCTATCATCCACAATATTTTTGCTGCCAATTCGTTTTTGGCCTGTTCTCGGGTCGCGGCACACGACATTGCTGGCACATTATCCAAACTATGTTTAACAACGTGTAAAGAAGCACTTGCAACATTTTATACGCCGGACTTACGAACGATATGTAACAGTTATTAAAACGATCGTTAAAAAGGAAATAACTCATGCAGTTAAAAGAAGAAAAATCCGCGCGGTGTTACTGGATGTGAAATAATAATGCTCAACGTGCACGATAATACGAGTGATAATATTCCGTGTAATCTGCTTGTACAAGCGACGAAGTATTTACCGCGAAATCCGCACAGGTCACCGTTTATCACGTATGAATTCAGTTTCGGCTTGTACTCGTATTTGATTGACACTTTACACCGCTTTGCGTACTCCTCAAGGATAGTCAGCGGCGAACGACGATTCACAGTTGCCGCCGAACATTTCTCGACACTGACCTAAATTGTTTAAACGTTTACATTATTAAAATAATAGGTGAAATTGTAGATAAACTAAATTTTATCTATGGCTTTCATCGTCGAATCAAAAAAACAAAATAAGAAATTATAAGAAATTTTTTTTTTATTTAAGCCTCTCCTATTTTAACGTTGCAATATTCCATGTACTTTTTATTTTATACAGCCATATTACAAATATACCATACGTATCTTAACATCTGTAAGTTTTTAATTACTTTTTTATCGTCGATTTCGTCACACTTGTCATCATTGTTGACCGTCAACGAATGATTATCTATAACATTTCTGTCAACGTTCGACCGAATTTCCAAAGCGTTATCATCTGAGACGATTAAAGCAACATTTGTTATTTGTGTGATTAATTGCGAAATAAACTTTATACCTTCCGGATCGTCATGATATTCGCACAATACATTATCAGTCATTTTTGTCCATCCCTCCAAACTATTTGTTTCACCTGCTGCTTCTATCAATCCTAAATTACAAACATAATCGTTCATTGAAAACAAGCAGTGTTATAAATTTTTCCCAATGTCCGCGAATCTGTTGGGCTATATATATATATATATATATATATTTTTTTTTTAACTATTCTCTGTCACACACTCACTTTCTATCGAGCCGATTGCTTTGTCAGCATTATTCTTTACGTTAGTATCTGATTTCCCGTGAGAATTGTGATATTTATCCATCGAGCTCGTTTTGAAATGTTGAACGACCCCGTCGACTCCTCGAGATGAATTCAAATGATATCCCTGAGAGGGACGCTTCTTCTCGCACTGAATGGATTGTTCACTACAATGTTGAGACAAATCCGCCTGCTTTGCGTGAATATCGTGCACCATAAATTGCATTTCAACGCTCTCGGTGGCGTCGCGATGTTCCGAAATCTTGGGGAAAGGATTCACATATTTTTCTATTTCATTTAATACAGCGAGCAATGCAAGCAATGGGCTGCGGTGTGTAACACATAAGCGGTGGAAGTGTGCGGGTAGGGGGGGGAGGAGGAGAAATCTACGTACATTCGTTTCCTCGGCGAACGATTCTATGTCGGATACCATCGAAATCGTCGCGTTAGATTCCCGGGAATCCGGTGTGTGAAACGAGCTGGACGTGTCTGTAATATCGAATGAGCGTCAGATCCCGCGAACTAGCACAAGTTAGACAATATTGCCACGTTGTAAATTTTAGATTTCAGAATCGCTGAAATTTCTGGTATGCGTACACAATACTTGGAATTCGACATGACATGAAAAATTATCGTGCGTGATAATTTTGACAAATAAATTTCTGCGTTACACAACTGAAGGTAGTGTGGATATGCAGCGAATTTAGTAAATCAGCTTATCGCGATCGCGTCGCGTCAGATTATCAGCGCAAAATTTACGAATAAGCACTCTTTAATCATTAAACGCTGGATTTACGAAAGCAAATGAAGGATTATTTCCAGATAACAATTTGGTCAATAAGTCCGTGCGGCACAATTGAAAGGATATAAATGGATGTAGGTCGTGCGCGTATACCATAATACACATTTCTATGAAAGATAAATCTTCCTCGTGAATAAATTATTTGTGCGTTTCCCGCGTTCTATCATGTATACCATTAATTTAATAACGTGATAATTACAATGAGGTTAGCCGAGTGCACGAATAAATGCAGGCTATTTGCATAATTGGATCACGCTATTGTAACCATTAATTTCAAGCTTAAGCTCGTTATTTTAAACGCGTTAAATCGCGTAAAACGCGTTAAACTGAGTAAACACTAAAATTTCGACGAAACTGTTTGTCTGTTGTGCACGTAGACAAAAAAATCGCTCCGCCCCGACGAGGGAAATCGCGCACCGTTTCCCTGAGTGCACGGCGTCCTGAGCTGCTGCAGCAGATCCTCCGCCCGTTCGATCACCGTTTCCATCTCGCAGAGAAGCGGCGCCGCATTCGGGAATCGCCGCGTGATCGTGTCCCAAATGACCTCGGCATCCTCGACACCGTGCAACGATCTCGGTGGTTCCAGCTTGCCGTGTATCGCCGTGTCGGTGAACGATGCGCTCCCGCCGGACATTCGAGGATCCCGTCTTCACGCGAATCTGTCCGCGACGTGATGAATATTTCATCGAGATCGGCGCGATAAATCTGTCGGGTTATAGGCGAGCGGTTTTACATTTTTCGTGAACGGAAAATTGACGGATGGAAGATGTCAAGAGGCAAACAACGTAGGAGCGCGATGTCATCCTGATCGTGCATGTCTTCCGCAGTATGAATTTTTCGGATTATATGAATAAAGGTGAGGTAAATTGCCGTTATTAATCGGAAGATAGAGATAAAGGCGCATTTATATTGAAGATTTTAAAACAAAATTATATATTCTGTATCTAAAAGACTTTGAATACTCTGCTGCTTTTATTACAAAGCGATTGATTTGCATTTTAAAATTATTTTTTCGCGTAATATGTGTACTAGTTTTAAAGATCTTTTTATAATGAAATCTTGTAAAATAAATAAACAATAACTTTGAAAAAAGAAATGTGCCGATCGTGCTTTTATAAATGCTCTTATAAACCTTATTTTTCATATGCCTTTACAAAATTTGCAGCAAGATCTCTTTTTAGAAAAAAAAAGTGCTATCATATATTCTTATCTACGTCCTTTTCAAAGAATTTTTTTCCGAAATATTTCTTGGCAAGAATTAAAAATATAAAACTTTTTCATTATTTTTGTTGTAATATAATTAAAGTTACGTTTCTATTTTTGTGAAATTTGTATATATTGAAGATGAGGTATCGTTTCGCAAGTCATCTCGAGGGCATACAAGAGACCAATCTCTCGAAATAAAAGTTGCACAAGATATTGCGACATGATGCGAATTTATTATAAACTTAAATTAGGGCTAGAATATATGAATAGCACTTATTTCTCAAGAGATTGCGATTGAGAAAGAGTCCATCGTTATAACAGAATTTTATCGAGGAGGGTTGACCTAAATATTAAAAGTTTCTGGACCTTTAATGCACGAGAAAAAGGAAAGGGGGATGATTTTTCTTTTAGCAAAGTTACAATTATTTTAAAATAAAATTACTTAAAATTTTTTTGTCTCCATTCTTTTAGATATATTCACTTTGAATTTATTTATTTAGTTAACTTTTTTTCTCAGTAAATATCGACTATATAGCGTTTAAATTATTTACTTGAAAAAATAAGAATTTTTAAAAAGGGAGTTAATTTGAGGAGATCCTTACGTTCCAACGATGAATAATCCTTCCAGCTGCAGTCATTGTTCATTGCACAGATTTACGTGGGACAAAACTTTGGACGTTATGGATCGTGTGTCTTCATGAATATAAATACAAAGCCGGAGAGAAAGCTGCGCTTCTGAGAAAGAACGAAAGCGATAATGAATTGATTAATAATGCATTTTCCACGGCTGTTCTGCTGGGTTTCTTTAACGCGATGGTATTTTATTAAAATTATAAACACGGGATTACAATACATCGTGTAACGCGTAATACTTGCTTAGAAACGTCGTTGAATCAAGGCCTCTTTGATTCAAAACTCTTTTACCATCCACTTTTTTTTTTAGCTACGTGTGTGCGAGCCAGTTTGTGCTACGGCATTTTTTTTCCTTTTTTTTTGTTTTTTTTTCGGTACGTTCTTACATACATGCATAGTACTATAGTTTTCATAATCGTAGGACGCATTCTCAATTGAGCGCGACGTGGAGTCGAGTCGTACCGTATAATATAAATCCCATGTTGACTACACGCTCCGCAGTGATTTATAGATTCATATCCGCCCGGAGAAATTAATTCGCGATGCTGATCCGCCTCGGCGATGACAGGAACGACTTTTCCGTGGGGTGCTTTCAAAAGACCGGATCACATTAACGTTTCGGTGCGGGGTAGAAGGGGGGGGGAGGGGGGGGGGAATAATATACATAAATCGTCGTCCCTCTTGTGAATAGAAAACGATGCGTCCCACAATGTTTATTACGTCGGTTTCCGTCGTCGAAGGACTTACGCGTTTACTTATTTATAGACAGATTTATCGTGAACCGCGAGAGAAAACCACCGACTCGAGGGTATATAAAAAATTTCGTGTGAAACGCTTCCTCTTCTTTTTTTTCCTCTTTTTTTTTCTCTTGACGGAACTTTATATAAAGGGATAGAATCGGGGAAAATTTCTTTTTGAAAGGAAGTTCGCCTCGGCTGTTCGGTAGAAAAAAAAAACAAGAAAAATGATTTCGCTACCTTACTCTCTTCTAGATAGTTTGATGGATGGTGGCGCGCGCTTAAATTAATTTCGAACTTTCGATATGTTAGAGTAAATTTTTTAACATGTGTTTTTAATGTGACAATCGGCGCAATTAACACACACATCGGGGTGCCCGGGCGGGTGCACAGTTTTTTCGCTTCTGACACACGCTACGTTATTCGCTAGTACATTACTTCGTTATCGGATCTCGCCGTGTCTTACAGCGTACAAGAACGTCATATACTCGAACAGTTTTCCTTTTTTTTTTTTTCGTATTCGGGTAGAAAGAGACTTATAAAACTTTATGAATAAATAATAACTGCGGCAGTATTCGTTGGTAGGCGATGTCCTTAGGTAGTGAATTATTTGCGGAGCAATTTATGAGACTGGCGAAAAAATATCTTAACGCGACCGACGTCTCTGCGGGAATTTTCAAACTCTCTATGGCAGGAAGTGTACACAAGTTCGCGAAAATACCGTATCAAAATACCGCAATTAACACTACTAAAAAAACATCAAAAATTCCAAGCGCAATCCTTATTTAATTATCGTTCTTACGTGAGAGTCTGCAATTGCAGTACTGCAATTAGCTGTCGTTTAAAATAACAGAGCTAGGAAATTTTTTTCATTCGAAAGAGATATGAAAGATTACGAATATAATATAAAATCGAGTCACTTTTTATTGTGATCATTTTCTACGTTTCTAAAAGGCAAGTATATAAAATTTTTCTTCATTCTAATTTGATTATGTCTTCCTAAATATAATACAATAATTCTTATATTTTGTCGACTTATGTCGCTTTTCTGTCCGATGACTTACCATTAAGTCTGCTTTTAATCAATTTCTCTCAAATTTCATAGTTATATACGTATATTACGTTAAAAAAATCGGGTGAGTTTGCAACCCCGGGCTTGGACAGCACAGCGCATGTCTTTTTGATTCGATTGGTGATCTAGGAATTAGACGGTGGGCCGCGTTAAGATATCGATCTCGCCATGAAAGATTGCGCCGAAAGGTCGTGGATCCATCTTCGGCGACGGGTCCTCGAAGATGCGCAATATGCGAACGTGAAATTTTACGCGAGAGATTAATTTCCGATTGTTGATACGCTTACTTCTATCACAGCATACAGACGTACGTTAAACGTGCTTTACCATACAGTGTCTATAATAGGCTAACGCGTGGAGACTGCGTCCATTTGCTTAACGTTTCATTTGCTTAACAGGATTACGGGGGTACACGCTCCTGTAGCATTCAATTAGTTACACGTGGGCATCTACGTCTCATTCAAGCGCGTATCGATACCGAACCTAGATTATACAAGTAAATTATCTACATATCGTGCCGTCTTTCATAAATCACCTATGTAAGTTCAAAGAATCGAGAATCACGCGGATATACGGATAATGCCTATAAAACAAATAAATGTTGGAACGACATAAAGTGGAGCGAGATCAGCGATTCGGTCGTAATGCGCAAATATGTCAATATCAATTAAGTGAGAAATTATTAATGTATTATACAATAATGCAATAAAATGCATTATAAGAATGCTGACCAGATTTGCAGGTAATGACAATCAGACAATTAAAAGATATTTTGTGAAATAGGAATAGATTCATATCTGGTTCATATCTGGTTTATATCGAGTTTTTCATAAAATTCACTAAAGCCAATAATTTGGTCCTGATCAAACTGTCACGATGTCACATTGCTAATGTACGATGATCTTAATATTCAATCAGTCAAATTTTGATGTGATGAGAATTTCAAGTTAATATATCTTTAATAATAAAAATCAATCATCCTATATTTTAGAACGCGGCAACGTAATATTCTAACGGCTAGTCCGGCCGTAGGTCCAATCATAGAAGGTGATCCAACGAGAAAATCAGGCTGGACGAGGATGTGAAGTGCGTGAGTCCGATTATAACGATAGATAGATCTTGCACGAACGTCAACGGTGTACGTCCTCCTTAATCACGACTATCTCTTCATCAATTTATTTTCTCCCTGATCTCGTATCACAAGAATGTGGTGTCGTCGATAAGCGCGAGTCGTCGGAACGCATCGCAATCAAGATCAGAGGAGTACAAGCAAGTACATTTCGACTTACATCGTACGTACTCCCGGCACATCAGCGAATATCGTTTCACGGTGTCGCGACTCTTGGCGTGTCCTCACGTATCCCTGCCCGTCCCTATCGCATCGTCATTCACACAAAAAACTACCCTCTGAAACGCTTCTCTCGCGCGCTCTAGGGCTCGTGACCATCTTGCGATGTTTTTCCTATTCTCTTTTCCCTTCATCTCGTTACTTTTATCGTCGTGCTCGCGTTTACGACGTTTGCTCGATAACCGACAGAAAGTGCACTCAACGGAAACAGCGTATCCTACGTCTCTCTTTAGAAGCGTTGCGTATCGCGTAAATGCCAATTTTCGCCGCTCTTCGTCCACTCGCGCGCGTTACATCTTTTTCGCTTTTTTCTTCATTTTTTTTTTACTCCTAAATTGTGTGTATCTAAACCTACCATGATACTGCGGTGTTTATCGTAAATGCCATATACACGAGCGTACGAGGTGCGTTTTTATATATATATATACCTCTCGTCGCGACTCCTTTCTGGAGGATTGCAGGCGGTCCCGTGCGGATATTCATTCTCGCGCGCGACAAGCGACGGCGGCTGTCATCCAACCCTCCCGGTCTAATGAGCCGAGTCGCGATCCGCTTATTCAAGGCAAGCCGATCGTTATGATTCGATTAGAGGAATAGAATTCGACTACGTTCGCCACCAGCCAAGGTGGCTACCGAGCACGTCTCGTGCGCTCGCTTCTATGCGCTTCGGATATATTCTACGGGATTTCGTACGATTACTGCGAGAGTATGTATACGTGTGTATGTGCGCACGTGTGTAGGCACGTGCGCATGTGTGTACGTGTACGTGTATGTGTGCCTTCGGGATGGGAGTGTTTTGGCTGCCGTACACTCCGGTCCGTTATTCAGGGGATTGATGGCAACTGGAGGAGTGGGAAAGGGGGTGGGGGTGGGGCCCAGAGCGAGGTAGGCATTTAAAAATCATGACTATTCACACGGTGGTCTCGATATTGGCGATGGCGTATTGTCAACAAATACTGTCCTTCCCGTAATTCTCCAGGTACATTTCCTGGGGCGTAGCTAGGTTGTACCGTCCGCTCAGCCGGCTCCCGGTCAAGCCGTTGTTGTGATGGGTGTGATTCACGTGGAGATGATTGACGTTCAGGGCGACGTTCTTCTTCTTCTTGCGCGCCTTGTGCCGGTAGAGGCAATACTTGAGACAACCAGTGGCCAGCAGAAGGATCAGGAATATACCGAGGGCACCGGCGCCCACCGCGACGTAGAGCAGCGTCACCCCGAAGCGATACGAGCAATTGGCCTCCTCCTCGTCGAAGCCCGAGGGACAGTGACGCACGCCGTCGCACCACAGGACAGAGCTGATGCACGCCTGAATCTCTGGACACCTGGTGACAGGAAGAGAGAACTCGAATTAAGCGATTTTATTCCGATTACTTTGACTTATTTCATTAAATAAATAAAGAAGCTGATTTTTTTTTTTACATAATGGAAATTGCACAACGAACCTGTACGGGCAATCTTCCGTGGGCAATACGGCAAACGCATTGGCGCCCAAATTGGACGCGGTTGGCGAACGTTTGGAGATCGCGATCCACGTGACGGCGTAGAAACCGGACTCCCGCTGGAGGAACTCCACGACGAAGCTGCGGGCGTGCTGCGCCATCGCCACGCTCGCGTTCACGGCGCTGTAATTCCAGCCACCCGAGAAGAAGTCGACGGTCCTGACCGTGTCGTCACCACCCTCCGGACAGATCACGCTGCGCTCCTTCGTGTTCGCGGCCGAGTAGACGACGATTCGGTTCAGCGTCGTGCACTCCTCGACGTTGTCCAGGGTGATGCCGAAGCCGGCGGTTCTCAAGTAGAGGAAGTTGATGCGCGCGTCCTCGGGCTCGATCAGCCACGGCTCGTTTACGCATTGCGTCGCCGTGAGGTCCTCCGTGTTCGTCAGGATCTCCTCCACCGCGGCCAGACCGGGGATCACCCGCGGCAGGGGACTCCGGAGAGAAATCTCGCCGCTGGTGCCGCGCAATCGTCGCTCCTCAAGTCTCGAGCATCCGTGTTCGCTCGACTCCGCGCCCACCGGGACGAAACGATATTCCCCCTCGAAGAAGAAGTCCCGATAATCCTGGGTAACGTTCATGAGCGTGATAGTAAATCTGACCTCCACCACGTTCGACGTCAGAGTCCGCACGACGATTCTGTTGCTCACGTTCGAGCACAGACAATCGCGAACCTGAAAGCGGAGGATTACGACGATCACGAAAAGAGGAATTACTTTATCTCGAAGATATTCAACAGACTGTAATTATTTGGAAACAAGTTGCTTCAACTTTGTGTCAATCTCTTTAGGAACAGATTTTTAAAACAACTTTTTAATTAAAAGGAAGATATATAAAGGAAATATAAAGGGAGAGAGAGAGAGAAAGAGACAACTTATTAGTAAAATTTTTAAATTAAATTAAAGAAGAAAAAGAATTTTATGTCATACAACATACCAATTCAACTCCTTGCCAAGGATATTCAGCGACGACAAGATCCGCCATGCCGAACTTTCTAACGTCCGCCATGCGACGGTCGCACGTCCATCGATTCACCAACGGGTCCACGTAAGACGCGCAGCTCTTGCCGCCGAAGGAAGCCCTGACGATGGACAGCTCTATCCTGTGATCAGGCTCGGCCTCGAATCTGTACACGCAGCTCAGATTCTGCGCCCCGCCGCGACCGTAGAAGAACACGTTCTTCGGCGACGCGAACTTGCCGGCGTTGGACGATAAGGAAGATGAGGAGGATGCGGATGAGGAGGAGGAGGCGGAAGAGGAGGAGGAGGACGATAAGGACGACGTGGAAGACGTGGATGAGGCCGACGGCACTGAGGCAAACACGTGGTTGCACGAGATGGCCTCGTGGACGAACTCATAGCGCAGCACGAAACTTATCGGATATAGCGCGCTACCCTGGCGCAATATGTGTTCCAGGGTGAGATCGCGGCCGGTCGACACGTAACTCTCCGCGAGGCTACACGGCCGCGTGTGGCGGCTGCTGTTGCGCAGCAGGCTGTGGTCGCAGAGTCGCGGTATGTCGTCCTTACAAAACTGTCCCATCAGCGTGACGTTCTGCGAAATTATTACATAGGGGATACGTCAGATAAGGATGCCTGAATGTTCAATCGCATCGACGTAACTTGGCAATATTTTTCTTGTAACATACATATATCAATACGTAAAGAATCTTTGTTACTCTAATAATTGTATCCTAAAGCCATGTATCTGACTATACATTGAAGACAGGATTGCGAATTGAAGATTAGAATTCAATCAGATAATTTTAACTTTAATCCGTTTCTTTTTTCTGACTCTGCTTAGTTAAATTTTGAATCTACAATTCGCAATCTTCAATATTCAATGCGTAATCTGACACAGGCTTTAGATTTCGCGGAAGAAATTTTGTAATCGATTATTTCGCTCGCGAGTTATTCAGCTTATGCAATTCTCTTGCTCGTGAAATCAAAGCGCTCTTTTCTGAATTTGTGTTTATATATCTATATTACTTTACTAACAAAGTTACTTTAGTAACGAAGTTATATTACTTCAGTAACGAAGCAAGAAAGTTGCTAAGTAACAGACTTCGTAGCTGCGGGGGAAGGGAAATGGGGGGCGGGGAAGGGGTTACAATTTGGTACGTACTTTTCGGCTGAAAGTAAGTTTGTCCACTGTGATATCGCCATCCCATATCAGAAGCTTTGCATTGCAATCAGTGGCAGTGTCGATACTCGCGGCAGCTTCCACGCTGGCGGCGTAATATTTAACGAACGATAACCAAACGATCTCATTGAGTTTCCCTTGGAAGTGATAACGGCAAGTTGTGTTCGGCGGTAGGGAGTGTTTCGGATTTTCCAGAATGCCCGACGAGTTCTCGTCACCGGATATATAAAAATCGCAGTTGTCGTTTTCCTTCACAAAACTTCGAGACTTCTCGTCGACAAAGATCACCTGTGCACGCGTGAATGTACATAAATGAAGTAGCGATCGACAAATTGTTGAATGTAATTAATTTTGATTCACATGTTTAAATCAAAGTCCATCACATTTTAACAATCTATCAGCGACATTAAAATAATCGCAAATAATTAATCGCACAAATTGCAACTTTCATTATTCTGGAGAAAATTTGTAACACAAAATGTGTTACGTAATAAGATATTACAATATTCGCGAGCATTACCTGAACTTCGAGCTCAAATCCTGGTAGGAAAGACAGTGGTACTGGATGAAATGGATTGTCGTACGGGGACGTATGGAATTCTAACAACATCGTATTGTGACTGCTGATGATGTCTGGTACCGCGTCTCCTCCGCACAGCCTTACAAGCACTCGGTCTGAGGTTGAACCTCCGTCATATACCGTTAAGTAATCCTGCACGACGTTGCACTGATCCCACACCCTTGAAAAGCGCGCGATATGTTACTTATATAGGTACATGCATTTGTCCTCCTCGCACATCTCTGCTTCTCTATATCCTCGAAAATCTTTTGTTTATTATAGAAAGATGCTCGCGAAATTGTTATACTGACGTCATATTGAATATTAATTCGATATTAATTTACTGGACAGCGTGACTATATATCATTAACGTATATATTATTAACGTCATCAGCATCGGCGATTTACCTTAGCACTCGCTGACTTCTGTCGTACTTCACGACCTGGTCCTTAATGTGTATCTTGTGACTGTTCCGCTGACTAACGGCCAGCAGTGCTCGGTGACCCACCGGCGCGCGGTTTTGCTCCACCCGATAATAGCAAGTGACATTCCTGGGGTAAACTCCGGGATAATTCGGCGACTGCAACCGGCAGGCTCTAGTATCGCATTTGGTGAGGACGCGATCGCAATACGTGCCGTTCACCAGCTCGCCGCGCCATGTGGACATACTGCTGTTTCCGTATCGGAGATGCGCCTCGCTTCTTCTCAGGAACTTGTACGACAGCTTGAAGTCGAAGTTGTAGCCGATACCCTGAGACACGGAAAAATTGCCCGAAATTGTGCCGCGATCGTAACTCGCGTCGTCCATTTCATAATACTTCACGTTGAACGTTCTCAGTTGGAAAATTTTTTTCCAAAATATATTCCGCTGCTGATGCATTTCGAACTTTTTTTTTACGGCAGACTTTTTTTGGACGATTCGCGAATCGATTTTAATAATAAATGTATAAGAATTGGAAAGACAGCAACATAGCAAAGATAACAAACAACAAATGACATCTCTCGATGTTTCCTTGTATATAAGAGAAAAGGAGTAAAAAAGAGCGACTTCAAATATCATTTAAATTTTTAAAACCGCGCTCTCGGAACAACGTTATAAGATAAAGGTTCCATACTGCCGCAGTGAAATAGCGAAAAATCAGATCGCGTATCCCCTTGAGCCGACGCAATTTCTTACCTGCTCTGATAAACGTAGTAAATATAAAGTCAGATTGATGGAAGGAGTTTCGCTGTAATAGACGGTGTAGCCCCACGCGCTGCCGCACCATTGTCCTCCCGTCGCAGGACGACCTTCCTCGCGAATAGTCATGAAACCATCTGGACATCCTTCCGACGTAAAGGATAGAAAGCGGCCGACCGTGAAGGTATCAAAAGTTAACTGTAACACCGGGCGGGGGGGTAGAGGAGGAGGGGGAGGCGAGGGAAAGGGAGGCGTTATTCTAAAAGTTATGAGCCAGCGAGTATCCGCGCGCGCAAAACCGGCTAACGGTTTTTGTTGGGAATAAAACTAAAGATAAAAGTTGGAACACAGTTATTACGAACCCCCCTTCGGCGATAAAAGCAAATATTTCTGTAATAACCTCGTTAATTATTTCGCAATGTATACGTTTTGGCTCGCGCAATATTGTGAATGAATAAGATAAGTCACCGGGAGGAAGTTTCAACGAGAGTTATCGTGCAACTTCGTATATATAACGTGAAAATATGATTAAAATATAATTTTGTCATAAAATTATATAACGTAAGAATAAGCATTGTATATACTAATATTTTATATATATGCGGTATTAACTCAATTTTGCTCTAAAAGCCTTATCATTAGTTTCATGTTAGAGATTTGGTAGGAAATTTTCCAAAAATATCTTTTAATTCTCGAATATTGATTTTCACAAACCGAAGAAAGCTGCTTAAAAGATTCAGACGCTGCTAAAGTATTTTTACGCCGTCATTTTTACGTTTTTATTGTCCCGAGATATAGGTACTCCCATCCATCGTGAAAACTTTATACTCCTGGCCGCTTGATTGTACCCCGCTAACAACGTAAGTATCGGAGTTTTTTTTTTTCATTGCGGGAGAGACATAAGAATCGATGTGTCAATATCAATCGGGGAAAATATATACCTATATATACCCTGACGAAGAACTTGCAAGCTCGGGATCGGGCGGCGATCTGTAGAGTAAGCGTATTCCGCGATGGCGTACGCGATGTTTACTCAGCGCGGGAGCTGATTTAATTTCGCCAATAAACGCGATAAGAATCGTAAAAGCCCGGGATATAAATTATTATCTGGGCTCCGGGCGGCGCGGCGGCGGGTCGGCCCGCGCTGTCTGATTCCCTGACAGACCACCCTTTCCCCCCCTGCGCCACCCCGCGGCCGCGCACCAGTCAGCATTATTTTCTACAACTACATCATTTCTATGTCCAACCTGGACTAGATCCCCGAGATCGGATCCGGCGGCAGTGAAGTTGAGGTGACACAGGAATGGCAGTCGATCCTCCCTCGGCCGGCGGATCTCCACTCTGTAGGTCCGGCCGACGTCACCGTACAACGTCCGATTGCAGGCTGAAACGTTTGTTGTTCGTTTGTTTGTTTGCTTTGTTTGTTTCCTCCTTTTTTTTTTTCGTTTCATCGTGCAATAATTACGCGCGGAAAGAGGTAAACCACGTCGTATAATCGTTCCCGCGCCGCGTGTTATAAACGCGGCGCGCGGTAAAATAATACCCCAAGAGAATTTTAACGCCTAACTAAGCGCGCACGGTGTCCTGCACATTGAAGCGTGTAATGTCCGATTGCGAGTGGAAATGCTTCCCGTCACGCCGCGATCCATACCCCACCCGGGAAAATATATATGCTCTGGAATATTTCAATATTCCGCTATATAATTATATGCTTATGACATGGGCGAGATAAAATATTATTTGAAACAAAATGCCAACTCACTCCTAACTACTCTCTCACGGTTTTGTGTATATATATCAAGTACAAAGTTCAGCGGTAAGCCGGGAAATGCTTTTATTGCGCAATTATTATGCGCGAAAAATAAATCCTGGGGTATAATTATGCCGGATTATAACACAGCATAATAGTAAAACATTATTTTATAAAATACAAACTCCTGTAATTACTCTCTCTCTCTTTCTCTCTCCCTCTCCCTCTTTCTCAGGTACAATATAAGAATCTGTACATTCAGTTAAACATTTATAAACATTTATGTACGCTCTCAAATTTATATCACATTTTTATACATATTTACATTTACCATTTATGTTACATTGCTACACTGTTATACCTATACTTGTAATGTAATATAATTAATAGCAATGCCGATCGAAAATCTTCTATATATTTACTATTTTTCTCGCATTCTTATTTTACGACGACTGGAAGCACAAAGTATATGTAATTGTTCCACATAATTAGCTCGTTTGGGCCCGCGCATATTTTAATATGCAATTTGAAATTCTATGAAGGAATTGGAACATGAATGCTATAATAAATTCCTCCTATTATGTTACGTTTCTATTGAAATGTGTCGCATATATTATCGAAAATTAAAAATTCAAAGGGATGAAAATACGACATTTGTATAACATAATTATATTTGAGCTTTGCAAATCGATTAAATTTCGTATGAAGTGGTAATTACTATTATACCAATAATGAACGGACAAATTATTTACCTCATTAAATTATTAAATAAAAATTTATTCAATTGTATGTTTGTATGCTAATGCAGGCCATATACATTAAAACAAGCACGAGGCTAATGACATATGTATATTCTATGAATGAGTTTTATAACTAACATGATATAGTTTTGATTTTTATATACGAATTGAGAGAAAGGCGTATTAACGCCTATAGCTAAATAATTACGGCCCGAAACATTATCTGCTTGGGTGAGCGAAAACTTTGTTTAATGTATGTTCAGTAATTGTTTTGAGTATCACAGATAAAGCGGCCATGCATGACCAAAAACATTTGTGACTATTTTTTACTTTTTGTTATTGATTTTCATTGTAGATATAATTGTTTCACTTTATTATCAATTGCCCACTGTGGATGTGCTATATTCAGTATGTCATACCGTGGCTATTTAATCGTTTGCTTGACAATGATTAATCCGCTAGTGATGCCCTTTTCGACAACATAAGTTTTTTAATTTTTAAAAACATGAAAATGACAATCCAATTGTTGATGCTGATAAACCTGATGATGATCTACCTCGCCGCTGTTTTGTATGTAACATTCAGCAATCGCATGTATAAATTCAGATTTAACGAGAGAATCGCAACGAAAGAAACTCTTCCAGGAAACGATCGACCGGAGTCATTTATTATTTTTCGAGGTTTAGTGCCTAAAAGTGGCTAAAAGGCGTCTTCGGGGAGGCGAGTGAAAGAGAGACGGAGTGAGACACCTCGTCGGCGTATCGATTCGCCCCGGCGCGGCGCGGCGCGGTGACTTGCTTTGTTCGACGTCTCACCGCTGCTCTGGGTTCGCGCGAGGGGGGTACTCACGGGTGCAATATCTCGGCTCGTCAGACTTGTCGTCGCAGTCATTCTCGCCGTCGCAGTACTTGTCCTGCGCGACGCAATGTCCGGTGGAGCCGCATTGGAACTCGGACGGTCGGCAGAGCGGCTCGCCGTTGCTGGCTGCGGGCTCCGATGTCGGGCCGGACGTGGACGAGCTCGACGACGGCGGCGGCGAGGACTCGGGTGACGTCGCGCCGGAGTAAACCGCGTATCCGCTCGGGTATCCGGAGTAGTCCGACGACGAGACGCCGGGGTGGTAACTAGCCGAGCCAGCCTCGATCGAGGCCGCGATCGCGGCTGCGATCAGCAGCAACCGCCGACACACCAACATGCCCCCTCACCCTAAAAGTAAATTAAATTTCGCAAAGTTGAGCAAACTTTATAAAAGCCACACACACACACACACACACACATATATATATATATAATATATATGAGGCAGCCAAGTACATTGTATTGTAATTCTATTTTATCATTCAATTGTAAGATTCAACACACGGTGGTCGAAACTAAATTTTTCTAACTTTACTGCACAGAAAACTAAATTTCTTTTTTAAAACACAGGTTTGACACTCTAAATTATTTTTCATATGTCGAGGAAAAGTGGATTTATTTCGACAAACCAACCGAACTTATTTTAGATAACATTAAATCAAATAAGATTTGATCAGAATCATTTTCGGATAATATTTAAAGCTACATATAAATAGAATTTCATTTCAACTTCGTGCATCATAGATCGTTTAAAGCAGGCTATAGTTTTATTAATAAAGAATAGTGTTAAATGTAATATATATGGAGCTGATTTATTAATCTTGCAAACTTCTAATATTGGTTTGCGCTAGATATCCACGACTTCCCCGATAGTAGTGGTAGTTCCTACAAGTTCTTATCTGTACGAGGAGAGTCTATGGACAATGGAGTCCTAAGGGCTCTACAAATTGTCAATAAATGGCAGGAACTATCAGGTTCTATCAAGAAAGAGAAAGTTTCTTGTTTAGTTTTCATTCTGAAGCAGAAGATAATCCGCGCATAAAAGAAACAGTTACGTTTTTTAGTGTCCTTTAGCGTTTGCTGCATCGGCGCAAGAAGGAGGAAGCGATACAATTCAAAATCTCGAAGAAGTAAATTGATATTGCGGGACGACCTGGGAAAAGTCTTGGCGAGACCTTGGATATATTCATTGGTCGTGGATATATATCCTTCTTAAAAAGAACCGAATAAATAGTCGTAATATTTCACGGCTTGCAGGTGTTGCTCTTCAGCCTGTTCTTCGTAACACTTTTTAGTGACGGCTCTCTTACACAGCAAAGCCCTCCTCTCTTTCGTGGTTACATTTTTCTTCCTCCGCGTGTGATGCTCCTCTTGTTGCGCTTCACAATTTCGCGCGTGTATAGCTCTCGCGATATAATTGTACCCTGATTAAAGCGAGAATATTTTTCCCCCCTCCGCGTCGTTCTTAAATATTAAGTACATTTTAATTCTTTGCGCACAGTTTCGCGAAATTAAGTTTGTCAACAGTTTAGAAAGCTAGCTCTAACTTCTCTCCGGTTATTCGATTAATACAAAAATACCGCTTTCTCCCATTTTTCCGGGACACTTTCCTATATACGCAGTCGGCTCGACGATCAATGATTCACCCGATTGCATGTGAATAAAACGCTTCTTCGCTTTATCTCCGGCCCCGCGCTTTCTCTGTGTCACAGGGGGATGTTGGCGCGGGATGTGCATCATCAACAACATTGGTTCACTCGATTTAAAAATCTTCCCTCTTCATGCTCCATCTCTCTTACAACTGGACCCTTCACTTTTTTACCAAGCTTTATTCATTCCACTCGAGCCCTTCCTTTCTCAAAGTCGTTTACCATCGCTCAGACTACGATTCGACGATTTATTACCCCCCCCCTGCCCCCCTGGCAACGCTCAACGCATCCTTTTTCCACGTTACATGAATAACGCGTGAATTTTAATAAATTCTCGCGGTATAACAGAGTGACGCGAAGAACGGAGATAATAACACGTGCGCTCGCTTAACATATGTTCTCTGATTGGCGTAAGGAAATTTTGCGCGCGGTTTCGACATACGGAGGGTGCAGCACGCGACGACGTAAAATGAATAGCCCGGCTTTAACTCGTTAAGACACCAAACACAATACAACTCGGCCGATGATTCCCGCGGAGTGTTTAGAGAGAGGAGCGGATTATGCTAATTCTATTCAGAAAACTAACTTCCTCTTACGTGAACGGACTCGGCCAGTACTCCCCCGAACAAATACCGCCGTATCTATTAATTCGCACGGCAACCCTCGCGGGCGCGCGGATCGATATACCTCTCTCGCGCGAGTGTTCGTAACAAAGTTCCGCCGTGTCCTTATCCGCGGAAACTTGATAACACAACGTACGCTTAGAAAGCAAATGCGGCGCCGCCGGATACCCGTGTTATCCTGTCTTTTTAACCTCCCCGGGCGCGCGATCCCTCCTCCACCCCATGCAAAACCCCATCGGCCTCTCGCGTGAATAATATCCATGCTAATGCAACGTCGTCGTCGCGAAAACGTCGGCGCTAACGAGCGACATGACAGGGCGCGCGGAAGAATGCGGAATAAAAATCTGATTTTGCCAACAACCAAGTAAAAAAAAAAAAAAAAAATAGAGTCGGACGTTGAGCGACTACGTGAAGAGACCACCGCCGGGCGCCGCGCCGCGCCGCGCGATATGTGGTGGTCGGTGGTGAGAGACGGTCGTGTGCGGCTTGGCGGACGACAAGGGGAGGATTGCGCCCGCGAGGAGAGTGGAATCCGCAATAAAAGATAACTGGATTCAAGTGCGGAGACTGCGTTGCACGCGCGCGACAGTAAAGGCTCTGTTTATTAAGCGGAGAGGAACGGAATCTGGGCCAAGCCCACGGGAACATGTAGCGCACGGGCAGGCAACACGGAATATGGTAATTCGCCCGGCGGGACGGAACGGGGAGGGAGGGTTGGAAGGGGAGGCGGGAGCTCTGCGCTCTCTGCCTCACTTCGCAAATATACACGCGCCGTACGAGTGTCACTGAAATTGCACGCGCGTGAAGCTTACGCCGGCAACCGGCGGTCGTACTTGCGGAAAAACAGTTCACGCCGATCGGTTACATTAAATTGCGTCACGTACTCGGAATATTGCAAAAATATGTTGTACGCTTCGCGTTGTGAATATTAAAAGGTGGGGTAAAAGGGATAATATAGAGCGTGTCGTACATCATCGTCAAATAATCTAATTCTAATAGCTATTCTGGAGATTAATTAGAATCGAAAATTTTGATGTAAAAATGTTCATGTCATAATATAGATTTTGAGTTATAAAATTAATTGATTGATGTTGCGTAAAATTCGTGTGTGTGCGTACGCGCGCGCGTGCCCCACACACACACACACACACACACACACATACACACATACACACAATTAGACCCATATGTTTACAGACATGTAGATATCCATTTATTTAATGACTTTCACTTTTCGATAATAAAGTAAAAATTAAATGATTGAAAGTGATATTTATTGCTCGACTAATTTTGATATTTTTATATGGAGAAATTATATTTTACTAACTGATTGTTAAAGACAAGTATTAATAATAGCAAATTTTATGTTACAAATTATGTAATTTTTCTTTAATAAAAATTTGATTAATTAATTACTTTACTTGAAGAAAATTATATTAAATCTATATTTGAAGTAAAAGTTCACAATTCGTATAATCAAAAAATAAAAATTAATTTTTCATTATTCTTTTTCAAATTTTGTTTATCAAAGCAGAATGAAACTGCATGATTTTAATACGTTAAGTAAAAAATGAAAGGATTCTCTACGATTTTATTCTTTTATTTATCAAAATCGCAAAATTTCAGATTTAATAAAATTGTAGTACTATTGCTTGCATCAAAAATGTAAAGAAAAATAAATATATAAAAATGCTTTTCTGAAAATGAAGATAAGTTTTATTCACAAAATAAATGTTAAATCTGATGTTTAATAATTCTCATTCATCAAAATCAATTTAAAACGTAAAGAATGACATATTCGGCTAAATTTCTACTTTGTAAACTTGTCCACTTTAAAACGATGTATAATTTGCCAGATTTCGAGATAAAATTATATCTGCATATTTGATATGCGCCGCATAGATATTTTATGCTACTTTTGTACATATATATGTGTCCGTTCTAATTCCTTCAAACGTTTTACGTATTAAACGCGCGCGGGAAACAAGATTATCAATGGAATTCCATCTCGAGTCTTGTGACACGAATTGTGCATTGTTTTAAGTAAACTTTACGCCGGTAAACCAATAAGCGAGCGAGCGCGGACAAACACGAAATAGCTCACTTTAAACGAGTGCAAAGTGCCACGCAGTGCAATCGTACCGTTAAATATTTTGCCGTATTAGATACGTAAAATATTTCATTGAACTGTGGGTCACGACGGCTCGGCGCTTGTTTTCGTAGCGCTCGGCGTACGCTATTGTTTACACAAGGTCACCGTGTTGTCATTCGTATGGCGAGACTCGAGCGGCGAATACGAGGCGGCTCCGTGCGTCGTAACGTTATTACCCCTCGAGACGAGCTCGCGGCAAGTACAGTTGAGACACATATCATTCCTGATGAACGGTCGGCGATCCACCGATCACCATCCCGCGCCAATCGACTTTTCCTATATTAACGAGTTAGTGTCGGTTCACAATGAGGATTCTAAAGCTCTAAGCGGTAGACTAAGAAATAGACTGATCGTAGTCGAATATGAGAAGAATAATCTATCGTAATTGATCAATGTCTAATTACGGTGCGAGATTTAAAATCTTTATTGTGGACCGACACTTATCGGATACCGTATCGCGACGATTCATCTTTTCGTCCGCGTCGCGGTGGATATCTCGCGCGGTTTATTCGGAGATTTACTCGGAGGTAGCAATCGAAGATGATGGAAATTGCGTATAAATTAGCGTTTTTACCTCTCTGCGCTCAGATCCGAATGCGTAATCTCGCGTGGGGCCTGCGAACTTCTTGCCAATTCGGATAATATAATTTGACCGACCGTTCGCTCGTCGAGGGAGACCGCGATGTGTAAGGTACGCGCGATTCGTTCATTAATTGTAACACGCCGGGATTTATACACGTTTCGAAATACGTGTCGCGTTTCAACAATATTGTATGATTGTATATTATCGGTAATTATCGAAATAGAACGTGTGTATTTTTCGTGCGGTTAGCGGTATTCGATCGTACAAATAGATTGCGCCTTAATTGGCCGGCCGGTGAATTGGACTGCAGGCGTCGTATATCGCCCGCGG